GTAGTCAAATTCATAGAGACAGAAAGTAGAATGTGGTTGCCAGGGAAAGCCGTAGGGGGATAGGAAGTTATTGTTCAATGAGCATACAGTTTCCGTTTTGCAAGATAAAGAATTCTGGAGATGGATGGGGGCGGGGTGGTGGTAGTGGTGGAATACGTACAATATGAATGTACTTAATAAATGTAGTTAATACCACTTTAACCGTACACTTAAAAATGGTTAAGATAGGCAAGGTGCAGGGGCTCATGTCTGTAATCCCAGCCCTTTGGGAGGCTGAGGTGGGAGGATTACTGTGATCAGGAGTTTGAGACTGCAGTGAGCTATGATTGTGCCACTGCACTCCAGCCTGGGAAACAGAGCTAGACCATGTCTTGTAAAACATTAAATTAAAAAAAAAATTATAAATGGTTAAGATAGTAAATTTTATGTGTATTTCATAATATAAAAAATAAGGAAAAATCAAGTGGCAAGTGTGTTTTCTATAAGAGATCGTCACATCAACATTGCACTGAAGTCATGATTACTGTGTTTCTATCCATTGGTTTTGTTGCATCCACTGTGATTTGTGCTTTATAAGGGTAGTTGCTATGAGCATAGATATTAGGTGTTATATCTATGTCTACAGATACGTTTACATATTACATTTTCATTGTGAATACCAGCTTTTAGCATTATAAAGCATTCTTGCTTGTAGTATTTAACTCACCACATCAGCAAATTGAAGAAAAATCTCAACAGATGTAGAAAAGGCAGTTAATAAAATTCAACTCCTTAGCAAACTAGGACAAGAAGACACACTTATTAAAACCTGACAAAATATCTACAGAAAATATAAGCAGTGATTTATTAAAATATTGAAGAATTTCCTTTGAGATTAAGAATAAGACAAGGATAGCCAATATCATCACTTTAATTTTTCACCATTGTATTGCGTATCCTAGCCAGTGCAGTACAATGCTTAAAAGAAATAAAAGATATGAAGATTGAGAAGTATATAACAAAAAGTTGTCAGTAAACACTGGTTATATGGTGGTATATGTAGAAAGAAGTGCAACGGACTGAGTGACAAAACATTTTTGCAGAAGAAAAACAAAGCAGACGTATTTTAAAAACCATAATAATGGAGACATTCTGCTTTGAACCAAAGAAAGACAAACAGATCAACAGAATAGAAAAAGAAATGAGAAACTGTTACATACATATATGGACTTGATTTTTTTCATATAAATTGCCTATCAGCATGGAAAGGGTGGACTTCAATCAGCTTAAGGTATAATTTACATTAATTTTCTTAACTTCAGAGAAATATCTTAGGAGCTGATAACTCTCAGTATAATGACCTAATACAGTAATTTATTCTGTCTTACGTGTTTTTCTTCTGTTAAATTCAACTAAAATAGAAATCTTATTAAAAAATAAAACTACCAATGTTAAGTGAACAATTTAATGAGTTTTAACAAACGTGGAGTCACGTAATCGCCACCAAAACCAAGGTAAGGAACACTTCTATCATCCCACCAAGCTTCTATCATCCCACCAAGCTCCTTTGTACACCTTTGAAGTCAATCACCTCCCCCTCTCCCTGATCTCAGGCGCTACTTTCTATAGCTATGATTTTGTCTTTTCTGGAATTTTATATAAATAACATCATACAGTATGCTGTCTTGTATGTCTGGCTTTTTGCACGTAGCACAATGCTTTTGAGGTTCATCTATGTTGTTACTTCTGTCAGTGATTCATTCCTTTTTATTGCTGAGTAGCATTTCACTGTGTGGATAATCCACAATTTGTTTATGTTATATATTTACATATTAATGGATATTTGGCTTCTTTCCAGTTTTTGTCTACCATAAATAAAACTTATGTACATTTGCATTCAAGTCTTTGTGCAAATGTGTTTTGATTTATTCTGGGTAAATTCCTAAGAGTGAGATTTCTGGGTTCCATGTTAAGTGTATATTTAAATTTAGAAGAAACGTCCAAACTTTTCCCAAGTGAGTGTAGTGTTTTGCATTTTCATCAGCAATACATGAGGGTTTCAACTGCTCTATACCCCCCCCAACATTTTTCTTGTCAATTTTACCCATTGTAGTGTGTAGAAGCATCTCATTTTTTCTAAATCTCTCTTAATTTTATTAACTAAAAATTTATGCCAAACAATAAATGATGAGTTAAATAATAGCCCTAAGCCTTTTAATGTTTTTCTTTTAATTTTAAAGAAATCTCTTAAGAACAAATATAGCTCTTGGTATGAAGAAACAATTATACAAATTTCTTCAGTGTCACTTCAGTTTTTTTTCTTCTCTTAAATTCAACTAAAATATTTATTTATAAAGATTATTAAGACTAATTTTACTTTCTCATCTATACTATTATGTATTTTTGGAAATTTCTACCATGAACATTTGTTGGTTTTATACTGAAAAATATTACTTTTTTAAAGAAAAAAATGAATTGAGAAAATGGTCTTTAAAGTAGACAGTAGAGGCAACATAATATTGCTATTTTTATTTTGAAACTCTATAGAAAAACTTGGAGCTACAATATTATCAAATTTAGTATTCTTTATTTTCTCTTATAGGTCTAGTAAGACATAATTTCCTTCATTCCTAAATGAGAACTCAGCATGACCATTAAGGAGTAGTTCACAGCAGCCTCCAATTATCTGACATTTGCCTAGTGCCTCCGGAAGACTGCTGGGGTTTTTTCCCTCTTGTTTTGGTTGCAAAAGTGGTATTGTATATCTATTGTACCTCCTGCTCCCTTTTCCCCTTCTCCGCCCTGGAGCCCAATACCTCCTAACCAACCCCCATCGGAACACTTAAATGAAGACAAAGCAAACACCATGTTCTCCATAAGTTATAAAGAAAACATGGGATAAACACAAGTTATTTTTTCCTTGGTGTTTATTATAATTTTCATACTTTTTCATTTAACACTACATAAAATCTAAGATCTCAGCTCTTAGAATACAGAAAAGTAATTTCGAAGTATATTTTAGCAAAATATACTTTATTTTTATTTTTTTTAAACCTATGAGTAGGTGTGATGTGGCACTGACAAGAATGTGTATTTTATGTATTTAAAGTGGAGAGCTCTATAAATGTTTATTAAGTTTACTTGTTCTGGATCTGGGTTCAATATCAATGTACTTTATAATTTATATGAAATTGGCATTTGTGAATTATAGCACGCTAATGCTGCTGTGTTGCTCGTTAGGCACACCGCTTAGTTGTACAGCTTCATCAGTCACTTCCATCATTTCAGTACTTTCACACACCACACCACTTTGAAACGTGTAATTCAGGGCAAGTTTTATAATAAAAACAACTTGGCATCACTCAAAGGGAATCAGTACATGCTTTTTGCAAGAACAGCATAACTGTTTCATGATGCTGTCTTCAATACACTACCAAATTCTGTTTATGCACTTCTCACTGGGTAATTGTTTCTTATGGTCAGTTTTGCTTTTCTTTGTCCTCCTAATCAAGGGAGAGTTTGTCAGCGTTATTTTGACATTTCCTTCATGTCGAATAAAACCACCGGGATCAACTCATAATACAGGTTTTTTTCTCTAGTACCATTTACATACAAGACAAAGGTCCCCAAAACATCATGGCAGATCATTAAAACTTTCACAGATATAGATCCCAAAGAGGCATAAGCTTTTACAAAAGTAAAACAGATGTGTTTTTCTGTATACCTATGCACAAACACACACACACACATGCACAAACACACATACACACACACACATATACATATATGATAATTAGGTCCACAAGGTATGAGAGGTTGTTTCAGAGATACTTGTTTCTGGATCCAACTGAACTAGAAATATCAACTAGACATTGTTGAAATATCAGCGAGATTCAGCAACTCTGGATCTATCTGGAATAATTAGTTGGTGGGAAAATTCTAGGGCTCAGGCAGCATGGAATTAGGGGGAAATTAGGGGAAGGCTCCAAAAGACAGTTTCCAAAAGATAAGTTAGGTGAAGTCTGAGGCATCAACAGGTGATTCTAGAATTAAAACAAATGAAAGTGTAACCAACACATCACGGTAAGGGGCAAGAGACATGACAATCGAATGAATTCTCAGCTGATTCCTGAGATAGGAAAGGGGAACAAGAGATACTCAAGCATTAGACCATGGACCAAGAATTGCAGCGGTGGCAGCGTTGACCAAGCCATCCTGCATGAACCTTTCAGACAGGCAGAGCTAGTAAGTGGCCATCCCTACAACCCTGAACATTTCTCTTTCCTTGATGAAGTCATAGTCTCATCCCTAGAAACAAAGTCCTGTGGAAAGAAGTAATTTCAACAGGAGATATATTGTCTTAGACAGACTTCTTTGTTAGGATGTGACTTTCTGATTTGGGGAAATCTCCCTTTCTGGTATAGAAGAAAACAAATGAGAAAGATGGAATTCATTGGGTTAAATTTAGATAAGTTAGTAACTTAGGAGACATGTTAGACAAAGTTAATAGAGCATGTATGTGTGACCACAGATAGAGATGAAAGGAGCAAGAGATACCAAATATTCATGAAGCACTAAAAATATGAAAAGCCACAAAGGTACCAAATATTCATGACACACTAGGTATACATAAGACATATAAAAGCCTCAATATGTATGAGAAGTTGGTTCAATTACCCACTGGTGACACTCATTCTGGCCTGACCTTACCCAAGAAATACAATAAAATTCACAACTGCTCAGAAGCCTAACAGGCAAGCTATTGCTGTGGCCAACCGTACTTGCCCCTGAGACCCTTCTATAGAGCAAGTGTACACTGTTGGCCTCCGGCACATTTCATCTGATTGAGTCCTCTGGCCCAAACAGCCACTCTGACCCTTTTTGTAACCCCACTATTAGGAGAAAGCTAGTATGACAGAGTGCACATCAGGACATAAAAACATTACATAACCCAGGATTCAGGTGTTACAGTCTTTCTACCCCACTGACACCCTATACTAACAGTGTTAATCTATCATTGCTTTCTCCTTGTTCTTCACTGTGTATTGGAAATTGGTTCAACAAACCAATGTATTTTGAGAATTTTTATTTGGTTCGTAAGGTTTTCTGTTCCATGACCTCTGGTATAGCTGGTAGATAGTTTATTTGGAGGCTACCCATGTACCAAGGTAATTTTCCACAAGGTGCATGAACAGAGACAGAGACCTCAAAGACTTCTGATCTTCTCTTTTTACTTAGGCCCATGAGCCCACTATCTATCCTAAGCTCATCTAGGCTCTAAATCTCTTCTCATAGCTCACTGTTCCCAATCTGCAACATGCTGAACTTGTCTCTGTCTCTACAAGACAAAAACAAATCAGATTGAGACGTGTACTATAGCTACAATAACAAAGCTGCATTTCTCTCTGTATGTATTGCCTCTACTAAATGTAAGCCAAACCTCAATAAAATAATCTTGATGAAATAGTGCAAAGGTTTGATCTTTAGGCACAAAATGGAATTCATCACAAATAAACAGAGAACATTATTGGCTATATAAAAGACATAAAAAATGATCCATTCCAGATCACAACTGTTTATCTTTTAAATTAATAATGAGCCAGGCACGATGGCTCATGCCTGTAATCCCAGCACTTTGGGAGGCCAAAGCGGGTGGATCATGAGGTCAAGAGATCAAGACCATCCTGGTCAACATGGTGAAACCCCATCTCTACTAAAAATACAAAAAATTAGCTGGGCATGGTGGCGCGTGCCTGTAGTCCCAGCTACTTGGGAGGCTGAGGCAGGAGAACTGCTTGAACTCAGGAGGCGGAGGTTGCGGTGAGCCGAGATCGCGCCATTGCATTCCAGCCTGGGTAACAAGAGCGAAACTCCATCTCAAGAAGAAAGAAAAAAGAAAAGAAAAGAAAGATAAGAAAGAAGAAAGAAAGAAAGAAAGAAAGAAAGAAAGAAAGAAAGAGAAAGAAAACAGATGCATATCAAGAAAGAATCACTCCCTCAGCAATATTTGTATAAACGAAGGGTCCAGCTTAGTAACAATGTTTCAACAGAAGCTATAACTACAAAATTGATACTTTTGTTTATTTTCATTATAAATAGAGCAAAGTTTTCTGCACAATAGTATGAAAGTGTAAATTCCAAATGCCATCTCTTGAATGAGATTTTTAGGACAGATTTTAAAATAGAAGAATAGGGCTACTAGAAGCAATTCAAACTGTAAAGAAAATTCTTCAAATGCCATCACCTCACTTCTGAAAATATAACAAAGAAGACATTCGATGCTTATTTCATTAAATACAGCTACAGAGAGAGCTCATTTCACTATTACAATTAACTTCCTAGTCATATGTGTTATAAAAATTCTCTAAATTCAACTTTTTCCCATTCCCATGCTTCCCCCATTTCTCACTCCCTTTAAGATTTTTCAATGAATTAAGTTATCTTGACACTGTGAGAAAAAATATTTATTTGGAATATTCCCATGGTATCATGTAATCAAATACAAGAAAAAGAGAGAGAAAATATGGTTGATTTTCATACATTTTATATGAAAATCAGCCTTATTTCACAGTTGTATTTCTGTAAAAAAAATTATATTAACATATTTTGTGCAAAAATTCAACTATAAATAATGAGGCTGATTTTGATACAAAACTCATAGAAATAAACCTTATTACATAGACAGTTCTTGCTATGTATGTTTGCTACATATATTTTACAGTGATATACAGGTCATCATTCCTTTATCCCACTGGACTGTGGCATAAGGGGCAGAAGCTATAGTGGCTTATTGCCTGAGCAAGGACACAGTGCTTGCATACACCACACATCCAGAACTGATCCTCAGTGATCGGGCTTCCCGTGGCAACGCATGTTGGCAGTTTCCCTTCTCCACTGTAAAATAAGACAAGAATCAATTCATTACACTTTAAAACTTCTAATTAATCTAACAATGTATTTAATATACTTTAAAAAATAACGAATAAAACAATTCAAGATTAATGTCAATTACTGTCATTTCAAAAACTGTTCTCAAGAAAAACACTTTCTTACGATGAAACAATAAAGTATAAATACAGCTGTAAGAATAAAGGAGGGTATAATGTTAATGTAAGTTGCTTCAAAATTTAGTGCTTAAGTCCTACATTAAACATTGTACATCTAGAAATCCAAGCTTCTAATAAGGCAGAATGACATCCACTAATTAAAATTAGCCTACCCTTCCATAAGGCTGTCGTACAATTCAGATTTTCTGTTGTCTGTTGAAGTATACTTGGTGAAGATTTCTAAAGCGAGGTCTTCATACTGCTGTTTCTGTTCTGAACTGAGAGTCTCTAAAGAAGTAAGTTTTAAGAAAGCTTTTGAGCAAGTCCCGAAGGCTCTGCTGGCGCATGCGCAGAGTGCTAGCAGAGAGTAGATCTCCACAGCAGGGATGATGTCTTCATAGTCTTTCAGGTGAAAAGCTAAGAAAAAGAGGGCAATTTGGGTTATTTAAAATAATTATGAATATGCATAAGGAAGAATCTCAGTTAAGGTGTTTTCATTGAACTTGCATGAACTAACAGACTGAAAGCAAACAGTGCTGAGAGATGGGAGCACTAGGAGGAGGAACTAGGCTACATGATATCCAAGGTTCTGTGAAGCTGGCTAACAGCTCAGCAGCCTGTGAAAAGAGCCACCACCAAATGCTGCACATGCCTGTGCCAACTCAGAAATACACACACACACACACACACACGAACAATTTTGGTGTCAAAACACCCACCTTTTCTTCGATTATGTTAGAAAGTTCTATGGCACTTCAGAAAAAGCAAGTATTATACTATGTCAGTCATAAACTGTAAGATAATACCATGTTTCCTTTTGTTAATAAAAAAAAGCAAAACAGTATAAAATCGTATGTTTTTTTCTTTGTGTTTCTTTGGACAGATTATATTGCTTTCGTATTATTGCTTTGTTGTTTGTCCCACAGAAACACAGGGATTTTGAGAAAAAGTGAAAATTAGTCTCCAAGTTGTCAGTTTGGATAATTCAAGTTACAACATCTTCTTTGCAATTATACTGGAAATACAATCTTTTTTTAAAATGCACTATAGACTTAATATTAGATTTGTAACCAATTTGAATCTTTTTCTTCTCTAGACCTTAAAATCTTTAAAATACTTTGTTATAGTATATCAAAAATTTCATAAACAAGCTTAAAACAACATATTCTTGTGTTTTACAATCAGAATCCTATAAACTGGTCTGGGGTCAAGTATTTACAACAAAGTTTAGTAGAAGAAATGTATATAAAATGTAACCATTCAGTTACAATAAACAATATCCTCTAATTTCACACCCAAAAGACAATAGGTTCAAGGTTAATAATTTACAGGGGGTACATTGTTTCAGATCATTTTACCACTGAGAAAATAAAGGGGGGGGGCAAATAGAGATCTTCACCAGTAGGTGAAGCATCTCAAGTTAAAGATCTAATTGTTCTTTTAAGTCTAGAAATGGTATACAAATTGTATATAATACAACTATTTTAAATAGTGTATAATTTATGTCAGATAGCAGTTACAAGTTATAAAATAAACATTAAAATAAAAAATAATTTTATATATAACTAATAACCAATTAGGAAAAAAACTTTACAACCTCAACCTCATTGTTAATGACAACAAAATTAGAAATAAACTGAAAAATAAACATTTAGAGCCTGCAAGAAGAAAGCTACAAATCTTCAGAAACACAGATACACAAGGGATTTTTTTTTTTTTTTTGAGATGGAGTTTCACTGGTTACCCAGGCTGGAGTGCAATGGCGTGATCTCGGCTCACCGCAACCTCCGCCTCCTGGGTTCAGGCAATTCTCCTGCCTCAGCCTCCTGAGTAGCTGGGATTACAGGCACGTGCCACCATGCCCAGCTAATTTTTTGTATTTTTAGTAGAGACGGGGTTTCACCATGTTGACCAGGATGGTCTCGGTCTCTTGACCTCGTGATCCACCCACCTTGGCCTCCCAAAGTGCTGGGATTCCAGGCGTGAGCCACCATGCCCGGCCACAAGTGATTTTTAAAATGGATGTTTCTGACAAATATCACATGTTCTCACTCATATGTGGGATCTAAAAAGGTTGACCTCATGAAAGTAGAATAGACTGATGATACCAGAGGCTGGGATGGGTACGGGTGATGATGAGAGGTTGCTTAATGGATATAGAAATAAGCTCTAGGGTTCAGTAGCACAGTAGGCTAACTATATTTAACATGAATTTACTGTATATTTCTAACCAGCTAGAAGAGAAGATTTATAATGTTCCCAAAGCAATCATAAATGTTTGAGGTGATAGAGATGGCAGATATCCTATTTACCCTGATATGAGCATTACACATTATATGTAGGAAAATATCACCTGTACCCCATAAATATGTACAATTATGTATCCATAAAAAACAAAAAATTTTCAATGATGCTTCTGAATGAGAAAACTTATAAACACAGAAACAAGTTCAATAGGCCAGATGCAATGGTTCATGCCTGTAATCCCAGCACTTTCGGAGGCTGAGGCAGGTGGATCACGAGGTCAAGAGATCAAGACCATCCTGGTCAACATGGTGAAACCCCATCTCTACTAAAAATACAAAAAATTAGCTGGGCACGGTGGCGCGTGCCTGTAATCCCAGCTACTCGGGAGGCTGAGGCAGGAGAATTGCTTGAACTCAGGAGGCGGAGGTTGCAGTGAGCCAAGATTGCACCATTGCACTCCAGCCTGGGCGACAGAGCAAGACTCATTCTCAAAAAAAAAAAAAAGAAAAAGAAAAAGAAATAAAAAATAAGTCCAATATTAATATTAATGCAATTCTAATCCAATCCAATAGGACTTCATTAAAACCTCTCCAACCCTAAAAAAAGACTGTAAAGTTGATCTAAATGAACAAATACAAGACAACATTCAAAAAATATTTTTTAAAAAGGAATAATGAAGGTGCATTTAAATACCAGATATTAAAATGTAAAAGTAAAGAAGCCAGTAGTGGCACAGAAATACATGAATAGAAAATAGGAAGAGATTAAGAATATGTATAAATTTAGTTTCATGAAGGTAGAATTTCAAATCTGTTAAGAAAGAATAAGCTCGATACATGGTTTCAGGATAACTTAACTGTTATAATAAACAATATTTAACAAACTTAAAGGAATTCCTAAGCATGGCTCCTGAAAGAAAAATATAAAGTAAAAGACTGATATGACGATATAAAAATACTCTATTCATATCATCATCGCAGCTACCACTTATTGAGAGCTCACGAAGTCCAGGCAGCGGGCAGCGTAATAAGTGAGTTTTCTTTTTGTGAACTTCTCAATCATTAAAAGAACTACATGATGAAAATACTATTATCCTCTCTTTACGCAAAGAGAAACTGAAGCTTAGAAAGATTAAGTAATTATAACTTATAAATGCTAGGGAAAATCAATGTATGTGAAAGAGGATTATTACATATGGTCTCTAAAGAGCTCTTATAAAAATAATTAAAAATCAAAATCATCCCTATAGAATTCCAGAAATAGTCAAATAAAAGAATTTCTCTAAAAGTTTTTTTTTTTTTTTAAGATCATGCCATTGGAAAACAGATTCATGATCTATTAGGATTAGAGTGTGATGTGCATTTGATGATGATCTGAGCAGCAAATGAATGATGTCACCAATGTGACAGAGGAAGGGTGAGGTGATCACGACAGTGCTTGCCATGGCCAAGCTGAAAGACCAGTAATGACGCAGTGATCCATATGCTGTGGCTTATAACATAATTATCAGAATTATGCTCTCTGGAGTTCATATCTCTAAACTCTAGAATACTGTTTTTGTTAAGAAATTGAGATCCTGATACTACATGTAAATAATCTTCTATCAGTAACAGTACACAAATACCATGGAGAATTAGGTAGAATATTTACACAGATCTGTGTTTAAGGATGAGGCAAGAACTACAATATACTGCTAAGGGGAAAAGCACGCGCCAGCATGTAGAAACATCTAAAAGGAAGTTTACCTAAACCTTAGCAATGATTATCTCTGAGGGATAGGATTATTTTATACATTATTAGATTATTTTACTTTTTTTCATATTTTTCTGTTTTGGTTGAAATTATTAGATAAGTATCACTTTATGAAACACAAGATGAAAGCTATAGACATATATATGTAAAATATGGAAACATTTTAAAACATGGTTTTCAAAAAGTACATAAAAGTATGTTGTGTTATATGCCCAAAACTGTAAAAAACAAAATTATCTTGATATGTTATAAATATATATCTGCACATATATTTTTCTCCAAAAAATGTGAAAGTGGCTATCAAGTGTTTAACTTTGAATGGCTAGCCAGATGAATGCTATACACATTCTTTTTGCTTATCTCAAATTTCTGACATTTCCGTGAACTATGTGTTTTTTCTGTATTTAAAAAAAAACTTCAGCCAGGTGCGGTGGCTCAGGCCTGTGATCCCAGCACTTTGGGAGGCCGAGGTAGGTAGATGACAAGGTCAAGAGATTGAGACCATCCTAGCCAACATGGTGAAACCCTGCCTCTACTAAAAATTCAAAAATTAGCTGGGTGTGGTGACCGGTGCCTATAGTCCCAGCTACTCAGGAGGCTAAAGCAAGAGAGTTGCTTGAACTGGGGAGGCGGAGGCTGCAGTGAGTAGAGATCCCACCACTGCACTTCAGTTTGGCAACAGAGTAAGACTCTGTCTCAAAAAACAAACAAAAATTTCAAAATGGGAATGAATAGGACAAATTATATATAGCATAATCTCAAACATATGAAAAAATCCATAGGAAAAAATGTTACTGAAGGCCACATAAAGGCAAATTGAAGAAGCTGGGCCTTCATATTTGATTTATAATTTTCAAACATACTATACACATCAGGTAACAGGCCCACCTGTCTTCAGTGCAGTGTCCACATATCCCTCATAGAGCTGCCTCTGTGCAAGTATGAAGAAGTGGTAAGCCTCAGCCCCTCTCCATGCATTGTCTATGAAACGATCTGTTGTAGACAGAACTTCTTCTTCCAGAAAACCAGCCAAGGCAGAAGTGGCCTACAAGTAGAGTCAGCCCACACTTTTCATCAGCACAAACACACACAGTACCAACTCCCAAATAACAACAGTCACTAAGGTATCTAAACAAGCAGATTTTATCATTACAAAACTATGATTACAGACTTTCTTTTTAAAAGATGAGGTGTTACTCTGCCACCCAAGCTGGAACGCAGTGGCATGGTCATAGCTCACTGCAGTCTCAAACACACGGGCTCAAGTGATCCTCCCACCTAAGCCTCCCTAGTCACTGAGATTACAGGCGAAAGCCACTGCATCCAAAACAGACTTAATTTTTTATTATAATTCAGTTTGTTAAACTGGTATAAATAAACTTTAAAATAGAACTGATTACATTTTAAGTTAGTAAGACATTTACACATTAAAATAATATATCTAGGAAAGTTTTTTAAACTCACTGATTAGAAACAAGGATTTCCCAGGTAAGTAAAATTTTTCAACAAAAACAAGACACTAAAGCAAAGACTATAGATAAGTATTACAGAAAAACAATTTCAGTATTTCTAAGGAGAAATTTCCAAAAGTGAATACTAATTCTAAATCAGTCATTCTTTTTATTCATATCATTTAAGAAAACAACTGCAGACATGCAAATGAAATGACCTCTCCACAAGAGAAGTTTGATAGTTTCCTTTTATTTTCTTAAATACTTCTGATGGTTTAATGTTATTTAACATGCTACCTTACCTCTGAATTTTTTCCTCTAGCTTTTCCTCGCTGGGCATTCTTCATCTGTTCATGGTATTGCTCTATAAGTAAGGCTGACAGTACGTACAGCTTCTTGACACGCAAAGGTTTTGTTCCTTTCTTTGCCTCTTCATCTGCAATCTTTAAACACATTTTTTAAAATTGAGGGAAGTTACTTCTTATCTTTATTTGTACAAATATAATCATTTCAAAAACTAACAAACTTGATTCCCTAAAAAGGGAGGAAAATCAGTAAGGAGAAATATATATACCACCTATTTAAGATAAATATTTAAAAACTCATTTTCTTTTCATTAGTACTTATAAGTATTTAGTTCTTTCCTTAATATTTAGCCCTAGGCGCTGGAACTCAGATCAATCTTGGAAAACAGAGGTGCCGTTAAATGACTAACTCCGAATAAAGGAAGTACTGATGAAACGACTGGTATTTCCCAAAGCACAGAGATTTTTAAAATAATGTTCCAAGTACATAAAGATACAATGGTGTTAACATGGTGTATCCTTCAGAAGCGGAAATTTATTTAAATAATTTTGAGATAAATTTTTCCTTTTTCATTAAAACAAATGGGAATAAAATAGAATGTAAAGTGTGCATGCATTAATACTGTACTAATTATTTTCCCTCCAAATAAATATTATATAAAGTATAATATTTAAAATTTGTACATTTAAAAAGACTCAAAACTCTATTTAATCAACAAAATTTAATTCCCTATTGTAGAAATGTGTACTTTGTAGTCTCAGCAATTTCTTTAACTCTTTGTTAACCCCAGCATTCAACATACAATTGTTTAGGTATTAGTAAGTTGCTAATATTAATAAACAGCTTTGTAAAGGCAATAATGCTAAAATAACATATACAGTAGTAATAAAACCAGAGTGGTTTTGCTGTAATAAATATTTGTTTCCAAAGAAAATAGAGAATGTGCTCTTTCATATATTAAAAAATTGTGACTGGAACAAATCAAATACTCTCCAAGATCTTTACATTACCTTAAACATCAGTTTAGCAGCATCAAGAAAGTAATTGGCTTTCCGATAGAGCTCTATGGCCTCAAGCGTTTTATTCTTTTCCAGTAAATGAGATGCATACCTAGCTAACAGAGATCCAATTTCTTTCATACTATGATTTTTAGCCAATTCAACAGCTTTGTTCCACTAGGAGAAAAATTACACTATTCAGTCACCCAAGTATTTACAGTTACATATATCATAAAATTCACACAATAAAGCTTTTTTATAATTAAAAACACTGCTTCAAAATTCAAAACTGGTATATTTTTAAAATAGCATTTAAAATCACAGCAACATAAGTTCTATAAGCTAAGCATATGTCAAAATGATGAAATGATCTCTAAGACTCTGATTTGCTTAAGAAATGCATGTAAAAATGAAAGTTTCAAAGTTTATAATCATACTAATCTAGTAATTCTAATTTTGCAAAACTTCAAGTAAGAAAAAGATACACTTGTTTATATTTTATAGTAAAACAAGATATGCAACTTCAGTTGTGAAAATGTCCTATCAGATTTGACATTTAAAATTATTTTTATAAAGCAAATGGGGTTTTAAAAAAATACTTTAAGGAAAATATTAAAAGAATATATTGATAGTCAATAGTTTCTATAATAACTCTGTACTTTTAGTTTAATTTCAGCCCTTAAAATATCAAATGTATGCTTTCTATAAAGGAAAAGTAAAATAGATTGGCCAAAACAAATATTGACAAAGGAACTCAATTCCTTCCTCAGGCAATGACTGGCCATTAAATGGTCCTTCTTTGGAAACAAAACCCAACCCTAATAAAACACAGAAAATTATGAAATTACTTCCAGATAAAAACTTACCAGACTAAAAGCACAGGGTTTGTTCATGCTCCCAGACTGAGCTGGTTATGAATGGGTCACCCCTCATGGTAGCACTTTAAGAGGTAAGTGCAACTTTCTTGGTCCTCAACTAAGAGAATACCTACTTAGCTCCTTTCATAAAAATCATGTCAAGCTCTCCCACCCTTACATTGGCAATAATCTTTAAAAGATCACTATGGTGACTTTAATTTTGCTTTGACTTAAAAATTCCTAAGACAACAAGACGCACAGACAATAAGTTTCAGTTCCTACTTGGTTGAGATGTACGCAGGTATCTACCGCTGCCTTTGGTTGACCACATTTCAAAAATGCAGTCACTGCTTGTTCACACATTCCAACTCTGACAAACATCTGTGCTATTTCCTGTACAAACAAAACAATACTGTCAGATTTCACAGACCAAGGAAATTACTTATATTTTAATTTAATAAAACTCCCTAGGGACACATGAGTATTAAAGTTACTGGTAGTTACAGAGTTTTCTGTAAACAGACACAAGGGCAGAGGATACAAATCAGAACAGATACTAAGGCATCCATCACCTTCTATGAAACCAGAGCTTCACTGGCTCAGGCTGTGGATCTGATTTTTAACCAGGTCCCGAAAACACTGCACTCCTTTCTTCTCTCAGTTCAGTAGCTAGTATACAGAAATGTCAAGCTCCAAAATAAATCCCCCACCAGTGGGTGAAAAAAACCTTTACGTCAATTGGTGGTATCATCAGTGTTAACCATTAACTAGAGACTTAAGGGAAATCTCACAGAGTTGTCAAATACCTCTATAAAGAAATGTCCTAGAGAAGTCTGCCATTAATCAGTTTAGGAAGTTAGACCCAAAACAGAGCTTCCTTGGAAAGGGGTGGCAGTGAGGAAGAACCACCACCACCACCACCACAACCACAAATCTTACTTGTTCAGGGGCACTATCCATTTTCAGAAGGTCATTATTTTCCTTTCAGAATACCTAATTAGCCAGAGGTTTTCCATCCCTAACCCTTCTACAATATTTTTGGAAGTATGAAAGCATATTTTATATCCAACTATCTTTTTTAAAACAATGCTTATATTTTTCTGATTATAAGGAAATACATTCTAATGGTAAAAAAAGAATTACAAAACACAAAAAAGTGAAATTACTCATAATCTTACCATTCATAAGAAACTTCTATCAATACTCTGGGGTGATTTCTTAACATCTTTGCCCTATGAATATATATGTATAGGTTTGTGTTGTACACGGTCATACAATACATAATTTTGTATCCTGTATTTCCTACTTAAATATTAGGTATACTTTCCCATATTATTAAACATTCCTCTATAACTCAATCTAAAATTTATTATTTTATTATTTGTTATTATGGTTAAAATTACTTAGTATTTACTCAGGAATATTATTTTTCTGGATATCCTACAGCAAAATGTTTTTCGGCTTCATCAGACACATCTGACAGACAGAACTAATGAAGCATACACATTCTTCCCTATACCCAGGGTTCTAAATAATTCCAGTTTCTTTCCTACTCAAGAAAATCCACAGGATTGAAAATAAAGGTGAGTGAAAATGCCATTATTACAGAGATAACTGCTCAAATTCACAATAGGGAAAACTGAATTACCATAATTCTATACTTATCTATTAACTAACAGGCAACATTTTTGAAGTAAAACTCACAACTGATATATGTCCAGACTCTGCAGTTGAAAGCTGCGAGCTCTACAAGTATTGCACAGCTCAGTGATTTATATGGTAAACAAATAAAATAAAAGCATATTTACGGTATTCAACAATTAATTAAGAGGTTCTAGAAGAACATTTGAAAGCAAGAGAACTCTTTTGATTTCTCTTTTAACTTTAAATACTTTATTGCGAATATAATAAAAACTAAGCTATCTTTTTAAACTTAAGTTATAGCAAATATCAAACAATTTCAGATTATTTTGAGGCAAATCCCTACAACATATCATTTAAATTTTCACATATTTAGCTAACATTTACAAAGCAGTTTTACAAACCATAGCAGACTACACAAGATTGTGATCATGTTAAAGTAGGAGGAATGTGATTGACTTTTCCCCTCCATTTTCAACTATTCTGTATTTTTTATATATTGCTATATAATTAAAATAAAAGCATCATGCCATGTCTAAGAAACCATAAAATTACAGATTTTTAATTTTCTTTATTGTGGAAGGTATTTTCTGACTATAACATAAAATTTTATAAAGAAACCTAACAATTCCAAAAGCTAAACTTTGCAATACCTACTGGAAGTAACTTGTGGTTTTCTGGAAGTGAAATGGCAAGGTTCTCTAATCCCTCATAATCCTCTAACATATAGTAACATTCAGCTAAGCGTTCCTGGTTCCGCCCTTGTACATAATATTGTACAGCATTCAACCTGCAGAAAGAAAAAAGGAGAAACTTTTAAAACTGACATAAATAAGTATACTTCAAAATGAAAAGAACAAAAGCCAATGATTTCTGAAAATAACATATAATAAATAAAAATACTTTTTAAACTTTGTTCAGAAATAAATCAGAAAACATCTTAGAATTATAGACTATAGTCTCCAACAGTAGAAAGCTGCCTGGAACTAAGTACAGGTTTTGTGTTTATACACTCCAAATTTTTATAGTGCTCATCTTACAACTTCACAGGATTTCTGGCTTTCCAAGATGAATCTAGAGCTATCTGAATTTTAGAATTAAAGAAGATGGTCTCTATTTCCCCATCATTAAGCAGTACTCAGGCGGCTACAAAGTGTTGCATGAATGCTGGAGGTGCTCCAGGTGAGTTACATACCACTTCTGTCGATCAGCAAAATAGTCTCCAGTGGCATTGTTGGCTTGTTCCAGGAGACTGTCATCCGCTTCACCAGATCCAGTTTTCAGGAGCTGCAGTACTCTAAACCAATCCCCCAGTTTCAACCGGAGGGCAATAGCAAGATCCCTACAAACAAAGGCATTCATTCATTCCTCTCTTTGACAAATATTTACCAAGAGCCTGCTATGTGCTAGATGCAGTTCTAGGTGCTCAGACTACAGAGCAATGGACAATGTGACTCTCCAAATATTTTAGAAACTTAGCCTGACTAAATAAGAGGAAATGAGGAGCACCTGGAGGTTATGGCTTGAATGTGTTTCCCCTCCAAAATTCATGTTGACTTAATCTCCATTGTGGTAGTATTAAGAGGCAGGGTTTTGGGGAAGTCATTATATCTGCCCTTATGGGTTGATTAATGCCCTTATAAAAGGGTCTTCAGGGTGTTTGCCCCTTTTGCCCTTTCACTTTCCACCTTGTAAAGGCATAGCATTCAAAGCACCATCTTGGAAGTGAAACAGGGCCTCAACAGACACTAAAACCTGTTGACGCCTTAATCTTAGACTTCCTAGTCTCTAAAACAGTGAGAAAAATATTTCTGTTATTTATAAATTATCCAGTCTCAGGTATCTTGTCATAGCAGCCCAAATGGACTAAGATACCAGAATAGGGAAAAGCAAACAATGTTGTGCCTTTATTTTCCTAGACTTCCAACTTATTTAGCAAAATTATGATTTAAATAACAATCATTCCTTCTTAGACATGATCAGGTTCATTTCAAAACAAAACAGAGCGTAAATACATGTGGTTTTATATTTCTTTTCAGAACTTAAGTTGTTAGACATCTCCTGGAAGTATAAATAACATTAATAAAAATGACAATGTTTACGGCTGAAATAGACAGACTCTCCACCTTGTGGTTCAGTGGCTAAGATTCTCTGCTTTCATAGCTGCTGCCTGGGTTTGATTCCTGGCCAGGGAAACAGGACTTATAGTTCTTTAATTTAAAAGAAGAAATATTTACGAAATTCATACATTAGTTTATGTAAATTAAAAATGAAATATAAAGAACTAAACTCAATCCCTAACTACTTCTGATTTTTATTTTATGCCTCTTGAGAACAGAAAATTAAATAATGTTCTAAACAAACAAACGAACTGGAATGACGAGCTATGTCATAAATATAAAAGCTCCCAGTCTCTGCTGTTCTATCATTTTTTTCCCACCAAATGAAAAAAAAAATCTCCCATAGTCAGCCATTATTAGATGTAAAAACAGAGAAGAAGACTGCCTCCAGACTATGAAACACAAATGAATGAGGGGCATGTAGAATATCTAGGTTGTAATCCATCTTAAAATGAATTTCTAAAAGAAACTGTCTAATAAACCCAATTTATTTATATTCCCCATTTGTAAAAAATAAAATTATGAACTGATCGAGTACTCAGGGATGCCTGTACCTTCGTAACTTACCTTCTGTCCATCTCAAGATACATTTTTTCAGCCTCTTCAAACCTGCCAAAGTAGCCAACAACCTCAGTCTGTTTCATTGACTCACTCAGTAGTTTGCCCAACCGCTTCACAAACTTAATGCCTTGGTAATCTCTGCAGTGCACAAATGCTTGCTCTGCAGTGTGTAGGTCCAGTTTCTGAAGAGCTGCTTCAGCCAGTAGGCGCCTTTATTTTAAAAGAAACAAAAACTAAATGTATGTTGCAAATTACTGATAAACTAGTCTTGAATCACAATTCAATTATGATGTCTTTTGTTTCTAGAGAAACGTGGTGAAAAGTAACTCATGCAAACATTTTTCAAATAATATTCTGCTTATTTTGAGGACTTCCAAATCTAAAATGAATTTCTATATTTTAAAAAGAAGAGCAAGAATGGAAGTCTATTCCCACTAGGAGGGTAGCAGGGGAGCAGAGACACAGAGCTGGGACTTTAAAAACCTACACCTGACATCTTGGGAGAGTTTGCTTTTTATAAATACCAAAGTCGGGGGTGTGGATTGTCCTGTATGAATTGAGATGCATCTTCGATTCCAACCTTCTCAATCAGTGCTCGGCTGTCTCGCAAAGACCGAATCTCAAAGTTAACTAGGTAATCCTTGACTGGATGTTCTGGATCCTAAAAGTAAAGATGAAAACAACAACAAAAAAATTCAAATACTTGCCTTTAGAGTATGTGTTTCTTTTTTATAATTAAAACCAGAACAAAACAAAACAAGAAAAAAAACTGCATCGTATTGTGAGCAAAATAAGGAAGATAAATCCTCATCTTTGGGTCTTTTGAGTTATTTGGAAAACACCCAAAACCCACAAGTAAAGTCCCTCCTGAGACAATCAGGCGGCCTATAAGGAAAGGGGGACAGAGGAAAATGGCAGGCGGGGTCCTTCACAGTTACGCATCCCTGTTTCTCTCTGCTCAAATTGGGTTTTCACCTTAAACGGGATAATATATCTCAAATTTTCAGCACAATGCCCAGCTGTACTATTCACAGTATTCAATAGTCATCATCTCATAAATGACCTAATGCTCTCCTGCAAGATTTGGAACAGGTATACCATCCTGACTGAATCACAGCACTCCCAACTCTTTTCTGCTGCTGAATTACTTTTCTATCTCTTCGACTCCTCTACCTGAGGCCAAGAACTGCGTCTTATTGGCTCTTAATTAACAGTTGCTGAATTAATGAATAGATGAACTTTGATTAAATCATTTTACCATTGAGAGTCTTCTTTACCTAAAAAACTTCATAGTATTCAATATAATCATCAACTAGAGCAACACCACCACAGGTATTTTCAAGCATTCTAGAGTTTCTGGCAATCAGAAATTATGGGCCTTTCTTGAAAAACACTACTAATGATGAAATCCGGCCAACTGAAAGATTAATCAAAATAAAGAACTATGTACAGAGAAAATGTAGTAAAAAGCCTGGTAATAACGTTGAATTCTTATTTTCAGTTGTTTAGTCTTAATATTTAAATATGTTAAGTCTTTAAATATATTAAGACTAAACAACCGAAAATAAGGATTACTAGACAAAATTAAAATGTTCTCAATCTTGACAATGTAAAAATAATATAGTTACAAAAGGAGAAAGAGAAATGTAAGAATGTGATCTTTTAGAGTGGAAAGACAATACTTTTAAATATTAAAATATAGTTTAATAACTTCTTGGTTTTTCATAATTCTTCTCAACTCAGGAAAATGGTATTGTTTGTAGTAGAAAAATATTATCTAAAACTCTAGAATTCCTTTAAACTCACTTTCAGCTTATCTAATTAAATTAACACCAAAAAAGTGGATTGTACAATGATACCATTTTTATAAAATTACTTCTGTTTACTCATCTAACTCTATCAAATCCGTATTTCCATATATAACTTACAGCTGTAAGGAATAATGTTCCAGTGTTTAACCATAGTGACTAAAATATCTGAGTGATGGAATTTAGGGTTTTTCTTTTTAACTTTTTTCAGTACTTTCCTGTACTGCTTGAATTCTATATAATTCTGCCACTTTTTTAAAGCAATACAGTAACCATTTTAAAACACTGATTTAACCAACACTTTCTGAAAACCAACTCTGTATCAGACCCTTGCTAAATGTTAGGGATTCAAGAAGCTCACTGTCTATCACACCATTAAATATATAAAAACAGACAAGATATTTCAATCACCTCAGTTTGATTCTACACACTTATGACTGACTTATGACCGTTTTCTTAAAGGGCACTGGAAAAACCACATCTTCAAAAATAAATAATAACAATAATGTCTTCTCTCCCTAAATTTTTCGGGAAAGAAGACAAGCAGAAAAACATCTTCTGGCTGGGCATGGTGGCTCGCACCTGTAATCTGAGCATTTTGGGAGACAAGAGTTTCGCTTCAGCCCAAGTGTTCAAGACCAGCCTTGGGCAACATGGCAAAACCCTATCTCTACAAAAAAATACAAAAAATTAGCCAAGCATGGTGACCTGCACCTGGGATCCCAGCTACTCAGGAGGTTGAGGTGGGAGGATCACTTGAGCCCGGGAGGCAGAGGCTACAGTGAGCCACAATGGCACCACTGCACTCCAGCCTGGGCAATAAAGAGAGACCCTGCTTTAAAAAAAGAAAAAAAAGACATCTTTCTTCACATGTGAGAAAAAAGAAAAAATATTATCTGGTGGGACTGTATTCAAGTTAAACAGGCTATGAAATAAGTTCATTAGTTTTACAAGTCGTATACCTTAAACAGGGACAATAAAAGTGCTATCCACATCGAGAAAGGTCAAATAGTCAAATCTGGAGGTTATGTAATCCTAGGTAGTAACAGCCCGACTCCATTTTTGATGGTTGGCTGCTGACAGCTTTTAAACTTCACCCCTCTCTCTTCCCCTCTGCCTCACATGGGCAAGCTGATGAGAAAGCCCAGATGCTCATTCCTTTGGGGCCAGTGAGTTTCAAACCACATAAGCCCCTACCCATTAAAATCCTCACCCAGACCCACGCCCTAACTACTAAACAGCAACAACAGCAACACCCTCAAGCTAGTCTCCTTTCCCTCTGAAATGCTCTGGAGCTATTTCAGACAGCTTGGGAAGCCTGCCCTTCTCTCTCCTAAAAGCCTCATTATGGAGGATACATTGTTGGTGTGTCTATGGTATCACCAAGCTTTACATCCAAACCAAATTTTGGGTGGGGGCCCACCTGTTGTCACATGGTGATTATAATACAGAAAAATGAAACGGGTTCACAATAAAAGAGCCATAATTTACATATCAAACCCAGATATGAAAACCTATTCCAAATTGCAACTAACTGCTGGAAATTTTAAATCTACAGTCTCAATTCAAAAACTATCTATATTACACAGAAAAAGTTAATGCATTGGCTAAAATGAAGTTAAAACTTTCTCAGTATATTCTTAAAGAAAAAAAATTCTCAGAGGATGGTCAAAGAAGGCCAATGCAGGGGTTCAAAATCATGTCTTGAATTTTTTTTTAAAAAAAGGATTATTTATAAAACCTGGAAAAAATGGAGATAGGTCTCTAAAAATATGTTACTGGACAGGCGCGGTGGCTCACACCTGTAATCCCAGCACACTGGGAGCCTGAGACAGGCAGATCACCCGAGGTCAGGTGTTCGAGACCAGCCTGACCAACATGGAGAAAACCTGTCTCTATTAAAATAAAAAATTATCTGGGCATGATGGCACATGCCTGTAATCCCAGCTACTTGGGAGGCTGAGGCAGGAGAATCGCTTGAACCCGGGAGGCAGAGGTTGCAGTGAGCCAAGATCGCACCATTGCACTCCAGCCTGGGCAATAAGAGGAAATTCCATCTCAAAAAAAAAAAAAGAAAAAAAAAGCTACTCAATATCTTAGAACTAGAAAACAGCTAAACTCTTAAATATTTCTTTAGTACCTGTTTGTTATTACTGCAAAAATAATGACAACAAATGGCACTCGTTTTTTTTTTTAGCTCTCACTTGGCTATATTATAGCATTGTGTGAATTGCTTTTCACATATTGTCTTATATAATAACAATCCTATAAGTATGATTATTATCCATATCTTATAAAGGCAATAACTAAGACTCATACATTTTTATCATCATTTTACAGGAAAGGAACCCATGGCTCCACACTTAATCAGGCCATACACTGGGGCAAAACCCAATTTTTTAAAAGAAGATTATTTAAAAATCTTTTTTTAAAGGATTTTTACACAGCCTGGTCCAGAAATACATAATCCCCAGTCAAGCTAGCAACAGAAATTTAACTTTTTAGGAATTACCTTTAATATCTCATCCAAAAGAATAGATTTAATTTCTAAATCCTCAAAATTACAAATATATCCAGAGGTCTGAATGGGTTCCTTTAAAGACAAAAGCAAATGTTATGTTTCATTATGCAAAATTTCCTCTCTTTTAACAAATCATGCTTTTAAATTTTATTATCAGAGTTTTCAGGTAAACAGAAGAGAGAATGTCATTAACACCCATAAACCCATAACCTAAATAATTAACATTTTGGTAAATATGCTTCATTTAATTTCTTGGCTGAAGTATTGTAAAGTAAATATAGTAAATTATGAACATTATGATATCTCACCCCTAAATACTTTAGTACATATCTTTAAAACATAATTTTCTCTTACATGACCACATTACTATGATCACACCTTACATAATTAATATTAATTATCTAATAGCATCTAATATTCAGTTCAATTTTCTCAATTAATAAAGTCTTATATAGCTTGAAAATTCTAATTCATGCAATTCAATATTAAAGTTAATTCTTCATAAAACTGATAAATGCTATATTTGTATGTAAGCCCATCTGTCAAAGAAATCCCATACCACACTGAACAGTCTCTCCTCTAACATGAGCCAGAATGCATTCCTGATGTATTTCCTACATAAGAAGATTTATTTGCCAATATGAAAGTGCATGAGACTGTTATATGTCTGTCTGTTATCCTAGTGTTATACAGGCTTGTTGAAATAAAGAATAGAAATGCATATTATAAAGTAAAGTAGCTGCCCTAGATCTTCAGTAGAAAAAAATGGTATCAATATTATATAGACAAAAATAAATAAACTGCCGATATACTTAATACCTCTAAGAATACTATAAAAAAATTAGAATAATGTCTGGTAATAGAAATAGTATCAGATTGCAATTTTTAAAACGATGTGTGTGTATATATATAAAAAAGTAGAAAGTAACCAAAATCCAAATGAAATAACATTTCAGATTTATAATTCTGAAAGTTGGTCCTTCACATATAATTCAGAAATTATAATGAAAAGAAGATAGCAAAAAGATTAAAACAAGAGGTTACAAACAATCATATTTAGTTTGACTGCAGTATGTTTAAGCATGAGGCTCTTGTATATCTACTATGAGAGTTTAGAGGGTTTTTAAAATGTTTTTCATGGCTCATGCCTTTAATCCCAGCACTTTGGGAGGCTGAGGCAAGAGGTTCATTCAAGGCCTAGAGTTTGCGACCAGCCTGGCCAACACAGTGAAACCCCATCTGTAAAAAAAAATTACAATAAAAAAGTGGTTTTTCTTTTAAAAAGTGCAAATTGTTAAATAAAATAGTCAAGTAATATAAGAAAATTTCATAAAACCCTTTTATTACCTTTAAAAAGGGTTGTATTATATAAAGGTAAATAATATGCTTTAAGAGCAAAAAACAAAGAATCAAAACAAAATTTAATTCAAAAAAGTGCATGTAGTAAGATATTTCTTATAGAGTATAGGGACCTTTTGTGTACCTTGATTATTTTGATACTATATGTAAACCAAATATATTTGTATAAACGTGCGTATCATTAAATTTTTTTTTTGTTTTTCGCTAGACAGTGCAACAAAACAAGATAATCAAAATATAAATTCATAAAAGATTATCTATCGAAAAAGAAATACTACCAAAACGAAAGGGAGAAAGAGGGAGAGAGAGATCAAAAAACTAAGAGTTTAAAAAAAAAAAATCTGATTATTAGTACATAAGTAAATATACACAGTTATGTAATTCATCTTTTTAAAATTCAACTTCTGCTTGGATTAACCAATTTTCTTTAGTTTCCAAAATTCATTAGCTATCCATCTACACACTTCATTTAAATATGAAGTTTCAGACGAGCAAGGTACACTCACCTAAGCAGTATGAAAGATACTTCTTTTTATCAAAAAAGTATCCAAAGCTTTAATAGTCTATACTATACCGAGAAATATTGGCACCTTTATTCAGCACACAAGTCAGAAGGCCTCATAACATGTACAATATAATGAGTATCCTGAAGTACCCTTAATTTGTCCTACAATTTTAGCATATTGTGACATACTGACGTTTGCATATACCTAACTAAGTGAATTTAGGGATTATATCACCTAATTTTAGCTAACCCTCACAAATTGGACAAGTGGCTTCAAAAGCTTCTTGTGAAGAACTTGTAGATGGAAAGAAATATTGATAATGCAAGCACAAACAAACAAGGAAAGGCAGAACTGACACCTCTCTGACCCCAGCACCAAACCTTGTGTCAGTCACATTACAGCGTGAAAACAATGACAATCCTATCAAGTCTGACCAAAAGTCAGCTAAAAGGTCAAAATCATCAAGTAGAATATTTGAAACATGAGACTTTCATCCACTAAGTTAACAAAACCTTGCTCTAAAATGTGCATTGTGCTGATATACTAACTAATGGTAGTATGAACCATAGCAATTAGCATGACATATAAAAATAAAGTTATGTCATCTGATAAAATTTATTTTTCTCATTCTTTTAAAATTTCTATTTTGGGACATGATTCATAATATATTAATATGGCTGGTCATGTAAATAATTTATAAATAAATATTTATTATAAGAGCATATATTCAAAAATTTGAAGCCCCTTGTTTGAAAAATAAGCCAATACACAAAAATGAGAGTCTGGTTGATGAAATTATGAAATATGAAAGAAACATGAATATGAAATTGCAATGCCAATGAGAAGGAAGAACCAAGAAAAAGAACAAAAAAGTGCAATCAGTACCTTCAGAGGGTCAATGGAGATGAAAGTGATCAAGCAGGAAATATCAGCATTAAATATTCATCTCCTAATTCTCGAAGGAAATGTGCTTTATCGGTTAATTAAAACTTTGCATACAGATGGCATCTTTTTCTCTCAAATAATGAGATTTACAACTTAAATAAAGGTATGAATCTAGGCTTCTTAACAACACTCAAATAGAGAAAAATATATTCTGTTATTAGCTGTCAAACACTAACTTATCTCCTAAATAATAATACAGAGTACTATGTCCTGAAGGAACATACTATTAACTACAGCTCAGAAGATCCAGTAAAACAGACAGATGTTCTCTGTTTTGAAGAGATCATGTTCTTACATGGTCAATAAGCAGCTAGAAGAGCAAATGAGCAGAGTAGCTAAACCAGCTGTGACCACACCGAGCCAGTGTCCTCATGAATGAACAGAACAGAACAGCATCATTTATAAAGAAATCCAGACAGTAGCTCTGAATCTAACAGAAATTGAACTACATGCCAAACCAGAAAACAAATTCAAATTAAAAAATAGTCTGTTTTTTAAAAGGCTGTTCTATTAAAACTACTTAAGAAACTCTTTTCACCAGGCAAAGATTTCACTTGGTACCAGACTGATCGTGTGTGCTAAATTCACATTATGAGCAGCCAGATATAACAAACATTCTCACTTCTCCAGGCATAAGATTTGTGAGTTAGAATGAGTGGGGCTAAGCATAGAAAAAGACTCTAACATTCAAAAAGTATTCTACCCCCATCCTCAAGGTTATCCTGTGGTTACCTGTCAAATTCTCACAATTGTTTTGTGGCAAAAATTAAATTTCCCTTGGACCCTTGAAAGAAGCCCATGCTTACAGGTCAAATGCAGCAGCCCTGAATCTGAATGCCTTTCCTTTGAACCATTTCTCAGGGTCAAAGAATCACAAAGATCCTAAGACTTGTAAAAGCTTTAACAGAGCCTTTGAGAGCACTTGGGCATTTGCCAATCCAAAATTCCTGAGTAGGGCTCAAATGGGGAAATGTAAAAATAACTTAGATATTAAAGGGGCAAACAGTTTACCATTAAATAAATTACTCCAGAAGCCCTTTGGCTGCTCAGGGGCCCAAGCATGCAATTCCTTCCCAAGAAGGAAGCTATACATGCAAACAAATGGAAATGAATGATACAAAGCATTTATTCACTTATTCCTTATTCTTTACAAGATTAGAGTACAGAAAATTCCAAATTGAAAATGCATTACTAATTCAAAAGTCATTTAAAAGGTTTATCTTCTTAATGATGTTCTGATTAGGTTACCACTCAACTTATTTTGTATTTCCTAAATACAACAGTTGACAGGTGGCTGGAGTAGATTATGTGACAAGAAAATCCAGAGCATACAAAGGGGGCTTCCTCATACCCAAAAGAGAGACTGACCACCGCCTGTACCTGCATATTTGTAAGTATCGCTGGGTTAAGAAAGAACACAGATTTGTGAGTGGTATGGTAAACATAAATAGAAATAAGACAAAGTAAGCAGAGAATAAAGTGAACAAAGAGACAGAAAAGAATGAATGGGTAAGGCAATTTGAAAACTGTATTTTTTTTTAATTTGGTTGTTTTAAGAAATTCCGGTAAATAAGACTACTGATTTTCTTAAGTTTGACAAGGAAAAAAAAGACTAGTGACCATGGTTCCACCTTTTAAAAAGAACAGATAAATAAATGCCTGGGAAGTACCTTTCAGAGAAAGTAGAGAATATTTAAAAGGTAAGTCTTTTCTCATATAAGACCAAATATTTTTTAAATCCACAGAAATGTTTCTATTTATTTTCAGAAATTCATGCAGCCATGTTGGCACTGCTGTTCAACAAACCTCTTAAAAAAAACAAAGGGGAATCATCCAGGTTTTTATATTCGGCTCATTATTTATAGACTGTTAACACTCATTTCTTGTTTTTACCTCAGGATCCAAGTTTCTGAAAACATACATTCTTGTCCTCTCCATCATTGCAAACAAATCAGGATTATCTTTGGCCCACTTCATATCCCAGACATCTTTTCGTTCCAATTTTAACAACTCGCCGACTACTTGCTGTCCTGTACTGTCCGTTACTCGAGCATCCAAGTCAAAGAAAGTTAGAACTCCTGAGCTGTCTATGATAGCAAGACGGCTGCAAATCATGCAGTTGGAGAAAAGGAAAAAAAACCGTAGAACTACTATCGGCAATCATGAGAATAATTACCTATAGCCATTCTTCTTCAAAATCAGATTACCAGAAACCTGGAATACAGTAGAAATGGCTTAAATTTTTGTAAATAAATTTGATACAAGATATGGACTACTCTCCATTTTGCTCTCTTCTGAGGAAAATGTACCCAAAGAGATGAAACCAACTAGTATGAAATATAACATAGCCTCAATGCTTTTAACTTTTAAGCTTTAAGAGTAAAAAATTGTACTAGGACTTCCATATGCCCACTTGCCAAATGCAGTATAAAATAAAAGCATACTAAATTTTCAGGCAAGTTCATAATAGACACACCCATCTTTACATTTATTACATATAAGCCCAACAATCCCAACTGATAATTTCTAAGTCTAACATCTACATGAGCAGAGTTTTCAGGCTTACCTAGAGTTGCAGTTCAAGGATAACTGGTAGGCTCGATAATTAAGGGAATATTTTTGAATCAAACCAACATTAGGTAGACTGTATCTCTGAATGGTGCCAGATTCACGACCCTATGGAAATTACTTTTGATTACTTAAGCATATGTTTATCATAATAATATTAAACTACAACTATCTCTTTATATGTCTATACATTTAATACCAGAGCAAATTCTCAATTCTGATAATGAATCATGTTCTTACTAATTAAACCTTTTTCAAACAGCTGAAAGCATTCTAATTTTTTTTCATGTAATGTTCAAAAAAGGAGTCAGAAACCTAGCACTTTGGTAATAAACGAACTCTTACATCACAAGGAAAAAAATCTAAAGTTATTTATATCTGTTGTCCAGGTTAATATTCAGGACACATTAAAAGTTAAAGCATAAAGTACTTGTTGAGTTAAATTACATATGTATATGAAAAATCAACAGAAGGTCATATGAAATAGCTGTAGTCATCTATCTCATACTACTTTTTAGCAAAGAAAAGATGATCTGAATGCAGTGATACCATGAGTATTAATTTAAATATGTTTAAAAATAAAGCAGCATGTAATTTTCTACACAACTCAGGGCAAATCCTGAGGCTGACAGATCAACAGTAAGTACAATGCCATGAGAAAACTGCGGGTTTCAGACCCTTGGCTGCCTCAGGCCATGGCAGTGGGACAGAGTAGAAGGCTCCACACGGCTGATCTTTAAGTCTCCTCTTTTTAATCAGAGAACCACTGCTTTTGCAGCATGAGTCTCATGAGGGCTTATCAGAAAGGAGGAAATACTATAGAAATACTATGCTCTTGACATTCCCCCACCCCATAAAATTAGCTTATGGCTGAGGAATGTAACTAGAACTAGAAAGTGTATTATTAAGGTTTCATTTACATAATTCAAATGCAATAACCTCAGCAGGATTACTGTATTAAAGTAAACATTTATTTCTAAAATTAATATTTTCACATCTCAGAGCTCAAGAAAAGACACTATGCCATTGATTCTATTTGAAAAATTCAACTGAAATTTGCCATAGGCTTCTCTATGTTTTACTGGCTGGCAAACATGCTACCTCATCATTCTAAGTGTTATGAAAGTAGCTGAGCCAAAGCACTTTCTCCAACATAAAACATCAGGCTACACAAAGGAGGAAACTTTCTAAGACCAACTACCACCATGCAATCTGCCCCACATCCATCAGTCTTCCACAGGGCTCATTCCAGCCAGTGTGAGAAACTGTAAGTGTACTCTGTCTTCTCGGCTGGTCATCACTCTGCTGCTTTCATAAATAGCTGTTTTTTGCAAACAGTTAATAATCTGTGAGGAAAGCTTTAAAACTTTCTTATTTCCTTCACTGAATTTATATTCAAGGTATAGTAAAACTTGGGGTGCCCACAAGATGATACTCAAATCCAGAACCCACCCATTGCTTTACTGTAATTTTTTTTTTATTTTTTAGAGACAGGGTCTTGCTATGTTCCCAGTCTAGTCTCCAACTCCTGGCCTCAAGTGATCCTCCTGCTTCAGCCTCTGAGTAACTGTGATTTACAGACATGGGGCACCATACCTGGCTCCCACCATATTTTTATAATTTAAACAATTATTCATAAAATAAGTTTATGCAAAACTTACCACAATCAATATCTTATCTGATGCAGTTATGGCACAAATTGGATCCCTTGTGCCCTAAAATAAATTAATCAGTCATTACTATTCAACAAACATTTATGGAAAATCTGGTACAAAGTAGTATGTAATTCACTAAGCAGTCAATATTTATTAACTTAGCCAACATTTATTTACAGAGCACCTACTTTGTGCCAACCAATGAACTAAGCACTAGAGATACTCAGATGAAATCTTTAGCCTCAGAGATTACTCAAAAGTCTACTGGAGAAGACAGTAAACTAAACACCTCATTTCAGGACAGTATGATAAAAGAAGAGGTAGAAACAGAGGTTATGGGAGCACTTACACCAAGATAGGAAAAAAACCTGAGCTCAGGCCTATAAGAGAAACAGACAGCAGAAGGTCTAGCACATATTAAATTGAGGAAATGTAAGAAGGCATGGCACTGCAACAACCTGGACAATTCTCTAGGGCATTACACTTAGTGAAAAAAAGGCAATCTCATAGGTGACATACTATATGATTCTATTCATAAAACATTCTCAAAGTGACAACACTACAGACGGAGAACACATTAGTGGTTGCCAGGGGGCAAGGATGGGGCTGGAGAGTGGGTGAGAAAATTAAGAATGAGATAAGATCCCTTATGGTGATAAAATTAGATAAACTTACACACACATCTATTAGCACATGTAAAAACTGCTGAAAACTGAATTAGCTCACAGTCTAGTTACAGTACTGCACCAATGTCATTTTCCTGGTTTTGATACTCTACTACACTTACGTAAGATGTCACCACTGAAGAAAGCTGAGTGAAGGGACTCTTTTTGCAATTTTCTATTAGCCTACAACCATTTCAAGATAAAATGTTTTTTAACAAACTTTTTTTAAGCCAGCATGATACATTCAGGAAATTTCAAGTTGTTTGCCACAGCTGGTATCTGAGGAATGTGCTGGAGAGGAGAAGAGGGCCAGGGAGGCGGAGTGGTTATGGCTATTTATACTTGATTCTGAAAAATATGGCAACTTACAGAAAGTTTATAATTGGTGAGGGAAGGAACTATATGTAATATGACCAGATTTATATTTTAGAAAGGTTCCAGTGGCCAGAAGTATGATAAATAGATTGCCATAGTGGGGATGGGGAAAAATGAAAGTAGAGAGACTATTCTGTACTGTTCAATATGGTAGTCAGTAGCTTCACATCACCATTTAAATGTAAACTTCAATTAATGAAAGTGAAATACAATTTAAAAGTCATTTCTTCAGTTGAACTAGCCACATTTTAAGTACTCAGTAGTCACATATGGCTAGAGTCTACCACACTGGATAACAAAGATATACAGTATTTCCATTATCACATGAAGTTCTATTGGGCAGTGCTGGATGAAAACTATTAAAGTGATCTAGGCAGAAACTAGTAACTGACACAGGGATGGAAAGAGGAAAGCCAGTTTGAGAGAAATTTAGGAGACAGAATCAAGAGGACTTGGTGATTTATCAGACATGGGAAGCAAAAGAAAATGAGTTCTCATGATTCTTGTATAGGTGGTGAAGCCAACCACTGATAAACAGAATATATGGGAGGGAAGCTGAATTCAGCCTCAGACAGATTAAACTTGGGGTGCTTTTGAGCTGCTCAATGTCTTGCTATCCAGATTGCAAGAAATATTCATTCAGAAATCAAAAAAACTCAACATTGAAACTATACATATTAAAGTCAATGGCATATGGTTAAAGGGTTGGATTTCAATAAGAACACAAAGAAGAGTGTATTAATAGGTTTTTTAAAAAAGTAGATAATTTAGGGTTAGACATTAGGGAATACCACAAAAAGAGATGCATAGATGAACCCTTGACAAAGAAGACTGAGACGGAAAAGTCAGCTAGAGATAAAGCCAGGAGTGTGGTTTCATGAAAGCCAAGAAGAAAAAGGTGGTCATTAAAAATTTTAAATGTAATGTGTAGATCAGATAATATAAAGACAGAAAAAGACCTATCGGACTTGGCAATTCAAAGTCCTCTGGAAACCAGAATGCAATGAAATGCAGATGGAATGAGCAGTAGGAGAAAGATGAATACAGAACAGTCTTTCAAAATACTCAGCTATGAAAGGACAAAGAGAGAGGACAGTAGTTGAAAGAAGATATGTGGCTGACAATGGAAACTTCTGTCGTTTTTAAGATGGCATCTAATTTAATTTAGATATAGGTATAGGGAAAAAGCTGGTTGATGGTGAATCAATTTCCTAAAAGTTCCCTAATAAAAGAAACTGTTTCTTATTCACCAGTAGATTCCCAGAATCTATTCCAATGTCTCACACATAATAGAAATTCAAAAAACACTTATTGAAAAAAATGGATGGATATGTAGATGACTAGACGAACTCTGGCATGTTCCAGTAGCTACATCACTAGATCTGCTGTCAAAAAAATTAAGCTTGCACCTTTGCTTTGTTATTTAATTATTTTATGATCCTAAGTAAATCAGTGAACTTCTCTACCAGTTTTCTAAACTATAAGAGAGAAGATGACATGCTGCTTGACTTACAGTTTTGAGCATCAGATAAAAAATCAGACAAAAGTTTTATAAACAATAGGCACTGCTTTAAATACTGAGAAAATCATGTCCAAAATTACTGCAATATAAAATTATATTCGTTTGTAAACAAAAGCACATTTTCATAAAGGAACAATTAACTATATTATCTTCAAAATATGTGCACTCGCTAATACTCCAGGGGTGACAGACCAATCAGATGGGAAGGTGTGAGGAGGAAAGGAGGGGTTATGTTTTCTAATATTTTTAGATATTATGCTTTCCTAAGTAGTCTATTAACTACTTATCACCACCTACCACCTTTATTTTAGTTTAAGAGTTTTTAAGATATAGGAAAAGGTTTTCAGAAGAGAATTTTTTTAAAGAATTGCTAAAATAATATCCTATTCACTGGAAACAAATTATTTTTCAGGTTTCAAAACAAAATTACAGCCTTTTCAAATCTATAGATGTTAACATTTTCTGAAAAAATTAAAATCACCTACTTGAATGGCCTTACTGTAATCAAGCACACCATCCATTGATCCAGAAGGGGTATCGTCAACATGATAAATTCTACAAAGATCAGAATTTCAAGGAAAATTTCAGTATAGTTTATACTATTTCATAATTGGATGACATCAACTAATACTGTTATTTAATATAAAATTCTGATTATTTTAGAGTTCTCAACACAGTTAAATCTTAATGAAGATAAAAACTATCTACTAGGTATTTACTAGTTACATGAATGATATGTTCCTGAAAGCTGAACCAAAAACATATCTGAACATCGAATCATATGTTCCCGATGAATTTCTTTAAGCCCAGAGAGATATTTTACCTTACTCTCCATCTAAACATCAGTGAAGAGCAACATCTAATTCACTAACTTTCTCTGTTGTTTCTCTGTAATTTCTCTTCTATCGTGTGTTTAATAAAAGTAAAACAAGTGGATTTAGGAGGTTTTAATTAATGGAACTTCTGCTCTAAAGTAAAGAAGTCTTTCCTGCCCTTTCCTGTATTGGGAAGAGGTATCACTTTTGGACATCCACTATCTCTCTAGTACCTGTCCCTGTATTACTTTTTTTTTTTTTTTTTGAGATGGAGTTTCACTCTTGTTACCCAGGCTGGAGTGCAATGGCACAATCTCGGCTCACCACAACCTCCGCCTCCCAGGTTCAGGCAATTCTCCTGCCTCAGCCTCCTGAGTAGCTGGGATTACAGGCACGTGCCACCATGCCTGGCTAATTTTTTGTATTTTTAGTAGAGACGGGGTTTCACCATGTTGACCAGAATGGTCTCGATCTCTTGACCTCGTGATTTACCTGCCTTGGCCTCCCAAAGTGCACTATTTTTTAAATAAATTTAAGAATTACAAAAGTACAGTTCTGTTACATGGATATATTGAGCAGTAGTGACATCTGCACTTTTAGTGCAACCATGACCCAAGTGTACGCATTAATTTCTCGTTTCTTACTCCCCACTTCCTTCCCACCCTTCTGAGTCTCCAGTGTCTATTATTTCACACTGTATGTTTATGTGTATACATTAGTTAGCTTTCACTGGTAACCTCTGGCAAACAGCCCATGTGTCTGTTTCTTCTTTGCAAAACAAGAATAAAGAGCACTGATTAGATTTATGAAAGTGTCTGGTACATAAGAAGTACCCAATAAATGTTAGCTGTTATCACCGTCATCAACTGTACTTTAGAGATAAGGAAACCGAGTTCTAGGGGGGAACCTGCCCAAAGTTATTCAAACTAGTACACATATTCCAGATAGAAAGATAAGGAAATGCTGCCTTCTTGATTTAAACAACAGTCAGAATCTCTTAAGCAGCTACAAGAAGACACTCTGGAGAGGCTAAACTTTTTGCCCCAACTTTGTCCTAAGGTCTACCTTCTCCCACAAGATTGCAGGCCTCTGCTTATTATTGCTGCCATGGTAAGTTCTACTAGCATGAGAACTACCACATGCTGTCCTCAAAGAGGCCAAAGACTCTTTACATTTGGTCTTCCAGCACCACTGAGAACACAAGATATAACATTTTTCCTGCCTCCACATGAATTCACATGTTTTTTCCTGGCTCTACATGAATTCACATGCCCAAAATACTTTTACTGGGGATCCATGTCCTATCTTAGTATATGAGTGAATCTTAAAGGGCAGGCAAGGGGAGTCTGCATTAAGATCTCAAGGGTGTGAGGGAGGATGATGACTTGAAAAAGTAACCTAGTATTTCTGTCATGACTCTACCACTCACTTCTGCCAACACAGGCCATGTCCCCATTAAGAATCCTTAGGTTAAAACATTCAACAAAATGCTTTACTTACAGGCTTAGAGTAACAACAGAAGAACAGCAAACATGGGGTATCAGTAATGGAGACAATATAACTTAGCATAACTTTGAGACTTACTGGGAGGAATCCTCTATTCTGGCTCCTAACCTCTCTATATGGCAGAGCCCTTTTTACCCCACTTACTAGAGGTAAAGTTATTTCCAACTCCAGACTCCTTGGAATCCAGGGCAAGAAGAAGCAGCTGAGTCCTCAGTCCACCCCACCTAAAGATTTCTTCCATATGTGTGTCTAAAGGCCTGCCTTTCTTCTAGTCACTGATATTAGAATCACACCGACCCTGTTGGGAAGACTTACACCACTAAGGTATAGGAATAAAGTCTTAGATCCTTGGCTCTCAGGTGAATAATCATATTTTAGTATAGCATATTAACCCTAATCTAGTGGGAAGGGTGAGTGAGGACAGCCACTTCCTAATAAAAACACAGCCTCGCAATCTTTATCTCTAAGGGATTTTTAAATTACACCATACTACCTCTCTTTAATTTTAATAAATTTAAACAGATATTTAAAAATAAATTAATTGAAAAAAGATAATTTTAAAGATAAATTAATTGAAAAAAGCCTTTCTACTAATCAAGACACTTTACAGTTACCAAGCACGACAATTTACGATTACTATATCTGACTTAAATGTGATATGGTTGAGTTACTAAAAAGTATGTATCAAAGGACATACCTTTCTCTTCCTTCTTTTCGAGACCGTGTGATCTGATTAATTTCCACTGCCGTGAGCTTCTTTGCCACATGATATTGCCAAGTATAAAATGCTTCTTTCGAGGCTGCTATCACATGGGTTTTGGTCATTGCAACAAATAGTGGTACTGTTAAAAATAGCATTAAGATAATTTGCAGTTACACAGAATCACAGAATGTTTGTGCTGCAAAGGACTTTAGTAATCACTGAATTCAACCCTCATTTTATAGACAATATACCCCCATGTAGTCTCGAAATACCCACATTTCAAATAACTCTCTGAAATCACGAAAGAATCAAAAGCTTGTAAAATCACACAAAAATACTAACTGAAAATGGATCAAAGACTCAAATTCAAGGGCTAAAACCATAAACACTTGAAAGAAAACTTGGGAGTACATCTTTGTGACCTTAGGTCAGGCAATAATTGGCTTATTAGATATGACACCAAAAACACAAATGACAAAAGAAAAATTAGGTAAGTTGGACTTCATCAAAATTAAAAACATTTGTGATTCAAAGGACACTATCAAGAAAGTAAAAAAACAACCCATAGAACAGGATAAAATATTTACAAATCATGTATCGGAAAAAAAATTGTATCTAGAAAATATAAAGAACTCTTACAACTCAATAATAATGACTAATAGCCCAATTTAAAAATGAGCAATGGATATGAATAGACATTTCTACAATGAAGATACACAAATGGCAAATAAGCACATGAAAAAGATGGTCAATATCTTTAGTCATCAGGGAAGTGCAAATCAAAACCACAATGAGATGCCACCTTACCCCCACTAGGATGGCTAGAATCAAACAGTCAGACAATAACAAGTGTTGACAAGGATTTGGAGAAATCTGGGAATATAATATGGTGTGTCCACTTTGGAAAACATTTCAGCAACTCCTCAAAATGTTAAATATAGAGTTACCATATGCCTCAGCAATTCCACTCCTAGGTATATACCCAAGAGAAATAAAAACATGTCCACACAAAAACTCCAATGCTGATGTTAATAACAACATTATTTATCATAATCAAAAGTAGAAAGAACCCAAACATACATTAATTGAAAAATGGAAAAACAAAATCCCACTTCTTCTCCTTCCCATGTTCACTACCAATTATTACTTAGTTCAGGCTTTTATCCTTTCTTCTCATCTCACATCTTACATTTCTACTCTAATTTAGAAAAGAAAAATCTCCCAAGTCTCTTCTTAAATAATATGTTCTTCTAAACAAATACTTTTTATTATTTCTAATATGCATTGAAAATATATTCTCCTAAACAAATAATTATTTTTATCTGTCCCATTTCTTAGAGAACATTTAATTGAGCTCCTACTGTATACTGTATAGCCTTTTATGAAGTAGAGAGTCTCATCGAATCCATCTTATGGATAAATAAACAGAGGTTTAAAAAAGTAAAACAACTTGCCCAAGGTCAAAAAACTAAGAATAAACAACATAAAATTAAACATTCATACAAAATACATAAAAGCAAAAAACTCCTTCATAAGCAGGTTATACTACTGTTTTCTAAATTCATGAACAATCAAAACAGTGTACAACTTAATTTTTCTATTATAAATACTAGCAATGTAATCATTAATATGGCCAGAATAAAGAAATAACGTTATTAGGAGATACCATTTATAGAGTTCCTTGCCAGAGTGCAGACAGAGGAAATTTGAAGCAATAAGAGACTTAGAAACTAACGAAGAATCAGAAACTAGTCTGATGGTATGATGTTCATTGAGTGTGCTAACAACTCAGGGATTCAAATTCAATAATGTTTATATGCTAAATAACTCAGTCCAACTGAGCAATTTTTGTTTTTACTTTTTTCACTGTACAAGATTTTTTCATTCAAAATGTGTACTATTATCAACCTCCGGAGGGAGCTCAAAGCCTTTCTTGGAAGGAACACTTCGCAGCAAGCCAGGCATGGAGAATGACAGCAAAGCCTCCAGGGTGCACTCCTGCCAGCTCAGGCTTCGCTCTTCTTCCCCTAACCTGGTCTTCACTAAATCTTAAGATAAATGTTAAATGTTTAGTAAATTCCACCACAGATACTCTAATGCTGGTAACTATTACACCCTTAATGTGATTTGAAGCAAGTCTGCAAACCTTAACTGCTTTTTTATTATTATGCTTTAAGTTCTGGGGTACCTGTGCAGAACATGCAGGTTTGTTACATAGGTATACTTTAACTGCTTTCTAATAAAATATTATCTTTTCCTAAGTATATAAAATATTCTTCCAACCAATGTTTATCTACAATTATAAATTACACTCATGTTCCTTTCTTTTTGATAGATCCCAAATACTCACAAGACTTTATCATTAGCCTGATTGCTTCAGAATTACAATGTTAGGGGTTCAAGGTAAGAGTCAGACTTCTTGGATTCAAATAACAGGCACCTGCTAATTCCGTGGCCTTGAATAAATTATTTGTTCTCTGTGAACCTCAGTTTACTTACTGTAAGTTGAGGACACTAACACTGCCAACCCTACAGAGCTATTTGAAAGTTTAAGAGCGATAACAAATAGAAAGCATAGCACAGTGCCTGGCACAGAGTAAATGCTTAGTAACAATTTAAAAGACAGTATTTATCAAAATTTTTAAAATATATGACAGTGTTCTAAATATATAACATATATTAACTCACAACTGCCCTATGAGGTAGTCATTATGATCCCAATTTAGCAGATACAGACACTGAGGCATGTGAATTTGCCCATATCACACAGCTAGAAAGTAGTAGAGCTGGACAAATCTGGTAATCTGGCTCCAGAAACTGCTCTTAACTACTAGAGCAGACTGACCCTCTAAGGATTAAGAAGATTAGACATGGTTGCTATTATTTTTACTTTCATCATCTACATAGGTTTTTACAATAAAACCATATATAAATTCTCAGTTCCTACAAAAAAGACAAATACATCTGAAAAATACGTTCTTCTGAATCAGTAAGGTGGTAATTTCAGCAAATTCGTATGGGTAGATAATCCTATCTATATATATTTTGCTGGATCTTTATTAAAATTCATTCCATCCAGACTAAGTTTCTAGGAAAAGCAAAACAAAATTTTAATAGCTAGAATGTTTTAGGAAAAGAACACAGCCAAGATGAAAGCCCTCTATGCCCTTTTCAATTATTCAATATTCAAAAGAAAAAAAATAGAAATAAAAAAACAAAGAAAGGTTATTGGAATTTTTATGTTTTTTGAGTCGGAGTCTCGCTGTGTTACCCTGGCTGGAGTGCAGTGGCACAATCTTGGCTCACTGCAACCTCTGCCTCCTGGGTTCAAGCAATTCTCCTACCTCAGCCTCCCGAGTAGCTGGGATTACAGATGCATGCCACCATGCCCAGCTAATTTTTGTGTTTTTAGTAGAAGTGGGGTTTTGCCATTTTGGCCAGGCTGGTCTCAAACTTCTGACCTCAGGTAATCTATGCACCTCAGCCTTCCAAAGTGCTGAGATTACAGGTATGAGCCACTGTACATGGCTTGGGAAAAAAAATTTTTAAGAATATAATTATGCTTTTATTAACCAATCTTTGTAATGCTAATAGGCAGTCATTACTAGCCAAGCCAGGATGTAAAATAATTTAAAACAATCTTGGAATTCACATATAAATAAAACCTGCTTGTAATATTTCAATGCTAAGGCCTGAAATAAATGCCTACATCTGTAATGTTCACCCACTTTCCCATTCATTTCATTTCACAGCCCTTTCAAGTGCTGGTAAACTGAAATTTCACTGAAATGTTTTCATCAAATTAACTGTCTCTGGAATATATGGAAAGCCAAGTGCACATGTTAGATACCATCATTAGAAAGCTGCTCCCACTAAAATGGCTGCAGCACAGGCAAACTGGGCTACTTTCCATGCCTTCATTCCTCTGCAAATGCCATTTTCTTTCCTTAAAATATCACCTAAAGAAATACTTATCTTTTAAAACTCAGCTCAAATGAAACCTTCTGTAAGTAGAAAGGTGTTCCTGACATCCTTATGCACCAATATCCATTCACCTGGCACCTAGAGCAATACCGAGTACGCAGTAGGGAAGCAATAAATCACTGTTCAGTGGATGAACTAGGTTTCAATTATTTGTTTAGAAATCCCAAGGGAAATGTCATAATTTATTATTCCCAGTGACCAGTACAGTACCTGAAACAGTATATATTCATTGATAGTTTGCTCAATAAATGAATCATGATTTTTTACATGGTAGAAAATAAATAATTTCCATGCATTCAATAAACATTTATTACAGGCCAAGCAGTGTTACGTCATGGGGATACAGAAGTTAATTTGACATAAATCTTTAAGAAGCTCAAAGTCTAGTGGAGAAGACAGATAAGAAAATTAAGCACAGTGCAGGGTAAGAAGTATTTTGGATGGAAGTACACCAAAGGTATTATGAGTACTCAACAAAAGAGCACCAGAAAAGGATACCTAACTCACGTGTAGAGTGCAACAGAGTCCCATAAACTCCACTTCCATAATAATCTATAAAGTTCTTTTTTAAAGTTTCTACAGAAATTGTAAAGAGAAAGAGTAGGTAGCAAAACAAAAATAATAAATTCTAGAACAGTATCACTCATATACATTTTTTTGTTTTAGTCTCCAGTCCTCATAAAAATTTGACACAGAAACTTTAAGAAGGAATTTTACAGGATATGTGTGAAACAAAAATGTTGAGTCTTTGGCTGTGTTCGCTGCAGGCCAATGAAAGAACTGTTTGTTAAAATCTCAGCCAGTGAGACTACAAAAAATATTTTTTTGAGACTCTAAAATACAAATAATCATGCCCTCGAGTATTTGCCATTTTATGAAGAGGAAGGATTTGCATTTAGCTTTGTTTTTAAAAACAGTCTACTTGTGATAAAAATTACTTCGAGATTAACCCTATCACCATTATGATTCTATGTTAACGTCACATATTAAAAGAAAAAGCATATCATCTGAAGACTGACAAAATTTACCTCTTAAAGACTGTTATGCTTCTAATAAACGAGATATTTATGTGATGAGAGTTTATAGTAATTCTAAGCTAAGCTTTTTAACAAGGAACACTAATGTTATGTACATGTGCATATAAACATATACACATATAAAACATATAAACATACCTATGTAGCAATAAATGTAAGACATGAAGTCGAAATGTGTCAATATATTTAAGGGAGTAAGTTACCAAGACCCTAAGCCATAGAGCATAAAGTCTTTGAGGTCATTATTTCTCATATTTGCTTTCATCACCCAAAGAGCTTAGCAAAATGCAAACACTCAAAGGCAACAGACATTAATATTTAATCCCTTAGACTAAATGTCCAATCTGAAAAAAAAGGGACTAGTTCTCAGGTTGTCAGGGTCAGCAAACCATGCAATGGGTTTTTAATTTCTTAGATTTAATAATTTTTGCAATACTATATCCAATATACTACCATACACATTAAAAGAAAATCATTACTTTTAGAAGTTACAGCGAAATGGCAACAAAATACTTGTTAATAATTTTTAATAATCTACTTAGAATAAGATTTGGAATTTTTAATGGGTTACTTTCATAGTTATTGGGCACAGGGAATGGTAAATCTAAAGTAACAAATGTCATTTGAAAACAAAAAGTCAGGAATTTTTTTAACTGTCCTTATTAATACTAATTTCATTAGAAAAATCTGGAAAGGGCAAACTCACTTTTACAAGCAGCTAAAGTGTTTTTATGGAAGAGAGGTATTTACAAGCAGTTTATTAATAATAAAAGTGGTTTAATAGAAAATTCTTACTATAATCCCCAGTTTACTACATACTAATCATTACACTGCATACCTATTCCTACACAATTATATTTCCCATTTAAAGCAAATGATGGTACTATAGCAGTTGTGAAATTACAGTGGATTTTAGATACAGTAACTTTATAACTCATTGCCTTAACCAGGATGCTTTTCGGAGTAAAATGGGGTATTAAGAATTCTACCACGGTAGCAGATAAAAAGTAGTTCTGCATCTGACAAAGAAGGAAGAATCGTCATCCTCCTTTTATAAAACACCATTCTAATTAAAAATACCAATGTTAGGTTTTTAAATTCGTGTTACTAATAAAACCTGATTGGAAAAGAAATAAATAATAATATTTTCTTACCAATATCAACGTATTTGGGATCCAAGGGTGTACCAATAGAATTACAAAGAACTAGCACAAACTGCGAACAAATAAAACAAAAAGTATCAGAACTCCTGATTACAAATAATAAAGGAAATATGCTTAATATATATCATGTTTATCTCTTTTTCAAGTATTGCTAACTAAAAAACAACTGATGAAATTGTTAGGTACAAAAATAGCAGACAAAAAGAAAGTCAATTGACAGCATTAAATGTAAAGAAAGATAAATTAATACTAAACCAAGGTTGGTTTCTCAGTGTAATGGGGAACACTGTGGTTTTTAAGAAGACACAAGAAACACAGTACTCTGGTTTCTTTTCATCATTTATACAAGGGGTCTTCAAGAAGTTTATGGAAAATGTGTATTATGAAAAAATTATGAATGGATTTAAAATTTTTTGCATCAAAATAAATGTGTACTAACTTGTTAAAAGATGTCTAAACAAGATCTAGTTTGAAGCACTAAGAAGGAGATGGTAGCAGTTTGAACAAAAAGCCCTGTCAAAGCGATACTAATTCTGCTAAAATTAAAGCAAGAAAAAACATCAAATTTATGGTGCAGTTTGGGGGAAGAATGGTGAAATCATCAATGCTTTATGAAAAGTTTATGGAGACAATGCCCCAAAGAAATCAGCAGTTTACAAACAGACAACTCACTTTAAGAAGGAACAAGACAAAGGAAAGATGAAACCTGCAAGAGCAAGCCATCCATTTCAATTTGCAAGGAAAAAGTTAACCTCATCTTGTTTCTGCCCTAATTGAAAACGACTAACAATTAAAGGCAGAAACAATAGTTAACACCATACACATCTCAACTGGTTCAACTCAGACAATTCTGACTGAAAATTTTAAGTTAAGCCAACTTTCCACTCAATGGGGGTCAAATCCATTGCACCCAGATCAGCTGCACACAGAAGCAGAGCAGTCAACGGAAATTTCAAACGGGGTAATCAAGAACCTGAGGCATTTCTTCAAAAACCACACAGGAGATGAAACATGGCTTTACCTGTATGATCCTGAATGCAAAGCACAATCAAAGCAATGGTTACCAAGTGGTGGAAGTGGTCCAGTCAAAAAGCAAAAGCAGACTGGCAAGAGCAAATGTCACGGCGACAGTTTTGGGGGATGCTCAAAGCATTTTGTTTGTTGACTTTCTGGAGGGCCAAAGGACAATAACATCCACTTATTATGAGAAGGTCTTGAGAAAGTTAGCCAAAGCTTTAGTAGAAAAATGCCTGGGAAAACTTCGCCAGAGTCTCTCTCCACCATGACAATGCTCCTGCTCATTCCAGTCATCAAACAAAGGCAATTTTGTAAGAGTTTCAACGGGAAATCATTAGGCATCTACTTTACAGTCCTGATTTGGCTCCAGCTTTCCTTTTGTTTCCTAATCTTAAAAATTCCTTAAAGGGTACCCATTTTTCCTTAGTTAAGAGTGTAAATGCGTTGATATGGTTAAATTCCTAAGGCCCTCGGTTCTTTAGGGATGGACTAAATGTCTGGTATCATTGCTTACAAAAATGTCTTGTTCTTGATGGAGCTTACGTTGAAAAATAAAGTTTCTATTTTTATTTTTATCTCCTAATTCCATTTTTCCATGAACCTTCTGAAGTCCCCTCATCTTTCTAAAGTTTCTGATGAGCTATAACATCAAAAGTCATTTTTTTCCTATGATCAGCTATGTAAGAGCTAATTTCATTTGTTACCGTTGCACCAAAAGTCTCCATCTCGTTCTCCTCCTTTGAAGCAGTATATAAATGACATGAGAAATTCAAAAAAATTCAGTTAATTAAAAAAAGACATGATCCAACCTAATGAAAATGGCTTATATACGAATAATCATCAATGATCAATATTAGGAACATAAGCACAATGCACATTTTACATCACATTGTTCTAAAGTGATCACTTCATTTTTCTTACTGTTTCTGTATCTTGCACTAAGAATACTATTCTACATAGTTATACATGCTAGTAGTTTCAAAAATCAAATAGAACCACAAGGCTTCTTACTAAAAAATAGCAGTTCCCCCTAAGTTCCCATTCCTGCTCCCTTTAACCAATCCTTTTGCTATTACTTCCATAAATCTAAATAACATGCTTATACTGCTACTTGTTTTATTTCAACTTAGTGTATTAGCTATTGTCTCCCTCTACAAATGACAAGTGCTTAGCTTTCTCTCCTTCATTTTGCCCACCCACCCCTACCACACAGGGGCACATTTCCATCCGTTTCTCTTTCTGTTTTTAATACAATTTTGTCAGAACAGAATTTAGGGTTGAGTATGTTTATTATACTTCAATTAAAAGGTTTTTAATTTTAAAAAAAGGATGATTACATCATTTTGACTATATAAATGCTATTCACAATTCAGCCATCAAGTATATCATGATTTATTTTCTTTTCAAGCATATTCTGCTTTCTCTGTAGTTGATAATTGTATTTTTTCTCTCTGCTTAGTCATCTATGGGCTTATTACTAACACAAATCCCCAATTATCCTTGAATTATGTGTATCTTGCTGCAAGGGCTCAAATATATCACGTAGTCTATTAATGTCATCCCCTTGAAGTTCTCTTGGAGTCTTCTGACGTTCTCTCATCTGACTCACTGGACATACCGCGTCACGGTCAGCTGGTACGCTCTTCCCCATTGGTGTCCCACTCTCCTGTTTATTCTGCTTTCTTGGTTTTTTCCTCATTTTGTTAGACTATTTCGTGAAGTTACTTCCTAAAATAGGGAAGCTTGGAAGGGAAATTTTTAGTGACTTACACATGTAATAATGTGTTTTCTTACCCTCTTATTTATATATTTATTTACTGAGACAGAGTCTTGCTCTGTCACCCAGGCTGGAGTGCAGTGGCGCATCTCAGCTCACTGCAACCTCTGCCTCCAGGGTTCAAGTGATTCTCCTGCCTCAGCCTTCCAAGTAGCTGGGATTACAAGCACCCGCCACCACACCTGGCTAATTTTTGTATTTTTAGCAGAGACAGAGTTTTGCAATGTTGGCCAGGCTAGTCTCAAACTCCTGACCTCAGGTGATCTGCACATCTTGGCCTCCCAAAGTGCTGGAATACCCCCATATCTAATTAGTAGTTGACTTAAGCTATGGAATTCTAAATGGAAAACCATTTTCCCTCCAAATTTTGAGGCAATTTTCCAAAGCACTGCTGTTGACAAATAGAATACCACTTATGATCCCTGATGTTATGAAATCTATTTTTCCTCTCTAAAACTTGTAAAACTGTTTTCTCCCCAATGTTCTGAAATTCCACAATGATGTTTCTTGATGTGGAAATATTTTTATTCAATGAGCTAGGCACTTCCAATCCAGACCTTCAAGGAAACTTTTCCTGAATTTTTTTTCATATTTATTCCCCTATATTTTTGCCTGTTCATTCTTTTTAGAAATATTATTGAAATGCTGGCTGGGTGCAGTGGCTCACACCTGTAATCCCAGCATATTGGGAGGCTGGAGGCAGGTGGATCACAAGGTCAAGAGATCGAGACCATCCTGGCCAACATGGTGAAATTCCATCTCTACTAAAAAACACAAAAATTAGCTAGGCGTGGTGGCACGCGCCTGTAGTCCCAGCTACTCGAGAGGCTGAGGCAGAAGAATTGCATGAACCCGGGAGGTGGAGACTGCAGTGAGCCAAGATCACGCCACTGCACTCCAGCCTGGTGCCTGGCGACAGAGCAAGACTCTGTCTTTAAAAAAAAAAAAAAGAAAGATAGAAATGCTAAGCTTCCCTTACTAGTAATTTAATTTTATCTTTTCACCGCTATTTCCATTTCCTTGTCCTGCTTCGCTTTACAGGTGTTTTCCTTCATTTTATCTTCTAATCCTCCAGCCAGTTTTCATTGTGGTCATCATATTTTTCATTTTTAAAAACTTCCTCTTCTATAGTACCCTTTTCTTATTTTTGGATGTAGTATCTCTTAACTCTCTGAAGGCGATATTGATGGTTCTTTCGAAATAATGTTTTTTAGAAGTGTCCTTCCTGCATAGTCTCTCTGCTTCTTCCAAGTTCTTTTCTGCTTGTGTTTAGATGCCTTTCTCAAATGTCTGGCAACCGTGTCTAACTGCTTATATTTAAGAGTCAGACACTGAAAGCTGTTTGGAACAGAGTTGTCTATAAGTGAGCCTCACTGACACTGACTGGCGTCTTTACTGCAAGGTGATGGGCAGGGCTACTTCCTTGGGGGCTCCCAATCTCAGTATCTTTAGAGGGCTTTTCTCTTGAACAGGTGGAATTCTCCTGAGAAGACTTCCAAACTCCCACCTCAAAGCTCAATGCTTGGCTGCCAGTGTTCTGGGAACCAAGTGGGAAAAGAAGACTGGCGTAACGTTGAGTAGTAAACTTTAAACATTAATTGTCCTATTTTCAGCAGAAATCCCCCACTCTCAGCTCTGCTTGATGCTCTTCAGTGCAGCGACTCTTTGATCCTCTCTGGAGAGTAAACCCCAGTCGTAGGTGGCGGAAGGGCAGCTGCCTATGGACTCAGTATAGGGGAGTGGGATCTCCTTCTTCCTAGGCTTTTTAAAAAAAGTTTTCTCTTTTATGCATAATCACTGGTACTTCCAAATTGCTTTTATGTTTGTTTCTTTCTTCCACCAGGTACCCCCAAGTCCTGTGGTTCTTGGGATTCCATGATGTAAACCAGTTGCCTCTGTTTTCTCCCTGAATGGTTTATGATTCAGCTTTCTTAGGTCTGCTAAGGTAATTACCACTAATTCACCTACTCTCTAATCTACGAAATTTTGCTGTCATTTCCTTTCCCTTTCTGGTCTCTATGGGCTTATGACTTCTTAAAAAATGTCTTTACTGTTGTTTTAGCAAGTTTCAGAGTGAATACCACCAAACGTGGCTGTTCAAAGAGTCACCTTTAACAAAAAACTCTATACTTTTCCATGGGTAGTCCTTCTCAGAAATATCTGCATACTTCTGCAAATACTTAAGTTGTCAGTATACTTTTTGAAAAGACATATTTGTATTATTTGTTATACTATATTAATTTTTAAAGCAATTCACTCAAAATAAAATTAGATTTCTCAATGTCAAAAGCTGCCCAAACTGTTTTAAGTGTTCATTCATAATTTCTTCAGCATTTATGCAGAGTAGATATCTGGGTATTCCTTTTTACTTATAAAATTTCAGCCTGAAAAAAGATTATGATATTGTAAATATATTTCAGAGACAAAAAGCTTCAGTATTGAACCAGTTAATATATACTGCCATGTGATTAGCTGCTTGAAGAAAAAAAAATCAGGGATGCAGCATCAATGGAGTCATGGAGTTTTCTAAAATTGGTCTAGACCGATAGGGCCAACAGACCCACTGTTTTGCTGTACTTGCCAGTGTAGAGGCCATGCTTAAGAAGGTAGATAACTATAACCCGTTTTGCCAAGCAGTTAACCCATCTATATCTTAAAATATCAAGAAACACCTACCTGAGGATGATTTTCATCAGCTTTTGTAGCCAAAATGCAGAAATCGCCACAGGTAGTAATAGAAATGAGACCCTTCACATACTTAACATACTTTTCATTGTTCTTCGTATCCCAGAAGACAACACAGTACTCTGGACGATCAGGTTTGGTATACGCATAAACTACAGTATTTAAGCAATAACCCCACTAGGAAGAAAGGAAGGAAGGAAGGGAAGGAGATAGAAAACCAGAAGAAATATTCAGCATTGGGAAGGAAAATCTTATTTTATTATTTACTCTAGAAATATTGCAGATATACGGTTTATCACTGCTGACAAAATATATTCTTCAGAAATAGAAGACAGGACTCAATCTTCAGCTTAATATCTTTTGCTCAGTAAAATAAAAAATATTTTAAAATAATAAAGATATATATAAAGCAAAGAATATATTGCAAATATAAATTTAGTTTGTCTAACTTTCCTCATTTTATTTTATTATTATTATTATTATTATTATTATTATTTTGAAACAGAGTCTCACTCTGTCACCCAGGCAAGAGTGCAGTGGCACAATCTCAGCTCACTGCAACCTCCGTCTTCCACGTTCAGTGATTCTTCTGCCCAGCCTCCTGAGTAGCTGAGACGACAGGCACGCACCACCATACCTGCTAATTTTTGTATTTTTGGTAGAGATGGGGTTTCACCACATTGGCCGGGCTGGTCTCAAACTCCTGATCTCATGATCTGCCCGCCTTGGCCTCCTAAAATGCTGGGATTACAAGCATGAGCCACCATGCCTGGCCTAACCTTCCTTATTTTAATTGGTAAGATTTAAGCTTCAATGGTAAAATGTTTTGATAATCAATAATAGCTGCTGAAGAGGGGCCAACAGGTGGCATGATCCCTGTCAAAGTTTCAATCCTGGATCCCCAAGTAGGAATTGAAAAACAGTCACTTTGCCTTTTTACCCCCATCCATATTTTTTATATATTTTTTAATCAGAGTAACATAGTTACATAGTATATGGCCAAATAGTCCTATCTGGCTTATATAAAACAAACAGAAACAAAATGCAGAACCCCCTGCCAAACTTCCTCTCTGGAATGGCCGCGCAGAACTCCTCTAACTGCAACTGTTCTGGTATTTATTTCCATATCCCATTACCTATCGATTATGCAACTTACACACTTACAGCTTTCCCCTAACTCACCTAACATGCTTATGTTTAATTCTGAATAAAAAATACTGTGTTGATATTATGATTGTGTTTACCAAACACATAAAAAGCTAAGCCATGTTTAGCTTTTTATACCCTGATTACTTTCTATAATAAATTTTTTACTTTAAAATAGTTTTAGATGTATAGAAAAGTGGCAAAGATAACACAGAGTTCCCATATACCCCTCATCCATTTCCCTTATTGTTAACATTTTACATTACCATGGTACATTTGTCATAACTAGGAAATCAACATCACTATTAACTACATTACTATTACTATTAAGTCAACATCATACTTTATTTAGATTCCATTCACTTTTCCCGAATGTCCTTTTACTATTCCAGAATCCCATTTGGGATACTTAGATTTAGTCATGTCTTCTTAGGCTCCTCTGGGGTATGACAATTTCTCAGTCTCCTTGTTTTTTAATGATCTGGACAGTTTTGAGGAGTACTGGTCAGGCATTTTGTAGATTGTCCCTCGATTTGAGTTTGTCTAATATTTTTCTCATGCTTAGATTGGACTGCAGGTTTTCAGGAAGACCAGCACAGAAGTGAAGTGTACTTTTTTATCATGCCATATCAGGGAGTGTATGATATGCACATGACATTCCTGATGATATCAACCTTTATCACTTGTCCAAGGTATGATTGCCAAGTTTCTCCAATATAAAGCTACTTTACTTTTTCCCCCTCTCCATACTCCACTCTTTGGAAACTAAGTGCAGCCACACTCAAGCCAAGGGAACAAGGGGCTATGTTCCACCTCCTGGAGAAGGCAATACCTAAGCAAACTGGAATAATTCTGTAAGGAAGATTTGCTTCTTCTCTCCCATTTATTTATTTTTCAAATAATCCATTTATATCAGCCACAACTCTTGGGCATTTATAATTTAGGTCACAATAAAATGCTACATCATTTAGTTTATTCTTCAAAGTCCTCCAGCTTTGGCCATTGGGAGGCTATTTCAGCCATGTCCTTTTGACATTCCCCCATCCTTTTGTTACCCGAGAACTTCCTTACTTGCTGGGACTATAAACTATTCCAGGCTTACCTTGTATTTTTCCTGCCCTAGTCCTAGAATCAGTCATTTCTCTAAGGTCCTTTACCTTTAAAAATTAAATGTATAAGATTTTTTATAACAAATAGTTTACCAGATTAATCTTGTATTTCAGAGCTTGTTTTAGATCACATTTTAAATTCAAGATAAAATACTGATTATATATTAATGTTGCTTATTCTCAATTTTTCCTTCTAATCTATTATCTGCCCCTCTAGCCTCCTGTGAGCCTTGGAGCCCAGTTTCCATGAACTCTATCACCTGGGCTACCTTGTCATCTGGCTCCCAGTTGGGTTCAGCCAATAGAAAACACCAGCAAGTGGAGAGGTGAGCTGGAAGATTCATTCCCCAAATCCCCCTCTGCCGGGCCGATTGGCAGGTTCTGGGCTCCTGCAGAGCAGCCCCTCTTGCACAGCCACAGCTCCTATGGGTTCCAGGAGCCTTACTCCCTTGTCTTGCCCCATCAGGCCCAGGGCTGGTGATAGCTTCTCACTGATGCTAATCTTTGGGTGCTGCTTTTTATCATCCCTTGCTGTTCCCTTTAACCCCGCCCATGTCTCTGTAATAAGCCTTTTATCAATCTCCCTTCAATTACTCCTTTGAGTGTACCATCTGTTTCTGGCGAAGACCTTGACTAATGGAGTGATTTTACTAACTATATATAGTATTCTAGAAAAGTTTACTAGTTCTAAGGTCTCCACACAAAAAGGCTTCCTTTCTGCTAGCTTCTAAAATGAGATAGCTTTGAATATACTTTGAGCTATAGCAAAATTATTTAGTAAAAAAACACTGTTTATTTTACAGCTGCTCTTAATACTTACCTTATAATTAGGTCGAATGTTTGCAAAATATATAAAGGAATCAACAGCTAGTGCAATTTTCAATCCACCTCCTTCCCAAGATAGTGCAGATATTTCCTTTCCAGGAACTTTCAAAGTACCCAGTTGCTGAAAAAAATTTATCTTTAACCTAAAGTATAACAATTAACTCAAATACAAATTACCACCAATCACCTCATAGAGATCAAAAGTGGTATAATCATTATTTTGTGAAAAGTTACTACTCACTTTAAAATCACTTTTTTTGAATTTTTATAATAAGAAACATACATGTAAGAAAAATTTACAAACTATATCCAAAGAATTCAATGGCAAATTTCATCAAATCTAAAATGACATGGACTGGCATTTTTATTTTTATGTACAACTAAGGAAAGGAAGAAAACACATTGCTAATTAAAATATAGCAACTTTGATTATAAGATGCCTCCTCATTTCAGAGTTGTAAAGCATTGTATTTCTTAGAATCAGTGAGATATTGTATTAGTAAATTCAATCATAACGTCTGGTCTTTCTCTTTCGTCTCCTCACAACCAACTAGTCACCAAGTCCTATTGCTTTTACCCCTTTCCACTCTCTACAGTTACCTTTTTAATGGATCGAACTGTGGTAATAGTTTCCTAACTTCAATTCTTACCTTTCATCTGTTTCCTGATTCTCACCCTCTGCCCTCCCAATTCAGTCTCTGTCACAATTATCTTTCTGGAACACAGATCTGATCATAACCCACCCTGCTTTTTTAAAGGTTTAATAATTTTTAAAAATCAGTAACTCCCCACCATCACATTCTTTAGCATGGCACACAATGCCTTTTCCCATCTAGTCCAAACCATATTATGTGGCTTAATACCCCACTATTTAGCCGTAACTGCTGTGTGCCGGCTCATGAAGGAACTACTGTACCGCCACAGCTTCAGCCTATACATTATCCCTTCTGCCTGAATCCTTTCTTCACAGCTCCCCTAACCTTACTGGCCCTTGTCCTTCTGGCGCACTCCTGTTCATCCATCAAGATACAGCTCAAATCCTGCTTCCTCAATGAGTCCTGCCTTCTTCCTCTGCTCCACGGTTCCAGAAAATAGAGAATGAGCTCCTTAATTGTACTAGCTGCATCATATTCACATTTATTTGCCTTTCCATTAATAGATTATTTGATAAACTGATATTCAATAAGTGTCTTCAATAAATATATATTCAAATTAATTGTTTCATATACTAAGATAGTACTTTTTATGACTGAATTAACAAGGGAATAAATGAAAGCAAATACTTTTTTAATGTGGCTATAAAACAAACAAACATTTTTAATCTATGCCTTTTATTTGACAGAATAGTATAATCTCAAAAATCTCAATGAACTTGGCTGGTATCCCTTGTTCTGAAGTAGATATCCTCTTGGGTCAAGTTTAATGTTATTATAGTTTGAATGTCTGTCCCCTACAGAACTCATGTTGAAATGTAATTGCCATTTCGACAATATTAAGAGATGGGACCTTTATGCAGTGATCAGGGCATGAGGACACTCATGACTGGGACTACTGCCATTATAAGAAGGGGAATTTGGTCCCCTCTTGTCTCTCTATTGCACTCTCTTTGCCCTTCTTCCCTCCACCACGCAGTGATGCACAGGAAAGCCCTCACCAGATGTCAGCAGCTCAATACTGGACTTCTCGTCCTCCACAACTGTGAGCCAGTAAGTTTCTGTTCATTATAAACTAAGCGGTCTGTGGTATTCTGTTATAGCAGCACATAACAGAGAAGACAAATGTACTGAGCTACATTTTGCCAAGAAAACCAATGGAAGAAAAAAAAAACCAGAGTTTTAACCCAGGAGGGTGTGACCTATCTGTCTTGCTACCTGTATAAAATTCAAGGGGAACCAGCAAGCTCTCTACAGTACTCTTGGGATCAACTCATCCATAGGAGGAGAATACAGCCATCTTTAACTACAAACCAGCCAGGATGTGGCAGCAGCAAGGAAAGAAAACCAACTTTGAGTAAGCCTTCACTACGTGCCAGGCACTGCGCAGGCATCTCCTCATTGTGATCTCCTGTAATCTTTACAACAGCAGCATGACGTATTACCTTTATTTCTGAAAATAAGTAAACCGTGTCTCAGAGGCTAAATAACTTCTCTACATCAAACATTCATTCATATGGGAAATGAATTCAATGCCAGGTCAACTTGACTATAAACCCTGTACTCTGTCAATCTCCTACCATGGCTAAAACCACAGTGCAAAAATCAGGAGTCCCTGGCCCTCACAATTCAGAAGCATATTCTTCTCTGAGGTTTTCTTAAGTTTAAATTGTTAGATAACTTCCACCCAAGTTATCTTTCCTACCTTAACAGTAACATAGATCCCAAAAAAAATTCCCTATATATTCACTCACTGAAAAAATACTGACTACTATGCCCTGAGGAATTACGCTAGATACTTTTAGTTACAGCTGGACCAAAACCCAGGTGCAGTTTTCAGTTTAACACTTAACACATTGTTTTGCAAGATAAACAAACAGACTTTAGAACCCATGTTTTTCTACTTGGGGAAGCCTGAACTAACAAAAATAAGCAGATAAAACATTATGATAAATAAGGAAATGGCAACCAACAAAAATAACCAGTAAAGAACATGAATTAAGAAGGAGGCTCTAAATAGAGAAATCATTAGAATGCAGATTTTTAATTATTTAGGAACCTTGAAAACTATGCCTTTTTTTGCTTCACTTTTACATCTACCAGAAATATAGTTGGTTGACTGTGTACAGAGAGCACCTACTTTCTACAGTATATTCTACTGGGTAAGTTTCAAATAACTGATTCAAAAGCATCAGACAATATCATTTCTTATCCTAACAGAAACTATTAAAATACATAAAACTAATAATATTAAAACAACTGGTACAGGCTTTTATGCGGCAAAAAAAAAAAAACACTAAATATCTAGCGTCGTTTGATGTAGAGAAGTTATTTAGCCTCTGAGACACGATTTACTTATTTTCAGAAATAAAGGTAATACCTCATGCTGCTGTTGTAAAGATTACAGGAGATTACAATGAGAAGATGCCTGCCCAGTGCCTGGCACGTAGTGAAAGCTTACTCAAAGTTGGTTTTCTTTCCTTGCTGCTGCCACATCTGGCTGGTTTGTAGTTAAAGATGGCTGTATTCTCCACCTGGTGAATTTATAAAAACCAACAGGGTATCCAAAAGGGACAAAATATAGTACTGGGTTAGAAAATAAGATATTCAAAATGTATTAAGCTTAGTTATTAATAAGCTCTCACATTCTAAATTCTTTAAAATTCACAATATGTTAATTCCCCTACTTGACATTTTCCAATGCTACTTCTGAAAATTATCTTTTAAAATTAAATTTATTAAAAATACTACTGAGAGCGGGGAGGACTCAAGATAGCGCTGTGAGAACAATCCAGGATTGAAGCTCATGGTCAATGCGCAAAGAGGGTGAGTCAGGGCCGCATTTCCAGATGGATCTTTGTTGCCCACAGAACGAGGAAATTCCTAGGTATAAAAAAGATGCGGGACGCCAGGCAGAGGTTTTGGCTGGTGCAGCCGGCAGCCGGTGCGGCGGCGGCCTGCACTGTAGTGGCGCTCCACAGCGCTCCGCACAAAGCACACTGGTCCGGGTGCCCTGTTGAACCGGCAACCTGAAACTTGAGAGGGCTGAACTTGAGACTGAATGGGACTTGGACAGTGAGCCAGCCCAGGAGATTCCAGGGACACAGCGTTTGGGGTAGCGCAGTGGGACAAACAAAACGGCATTCCAAACGCTCCCAGTGGAGAGGTTCCCTGAGAGCGCAGCTCCATGGGGGAGGGGCGTCTGCCATTACCGAGGAAAACCACCCCTACTGAGGTACACGCCCATTGCTGACGCAGCCTGCCATTGCCGAGGCAACCCGCTACAACAGAGAGACTCCGCTGCAGGGCGTACCCCATGGCAGCAGGGCGGAGACCGCAGCAGAAGGGCAGAGCCTGCAGCAACAGGGCGAACCTCACACCAGCAGGGCGGAGACTCGGCAGACAAATAGTGACTAGACTGCCTCCTAGCTGGGCAGGACAGCACAACCAACACTCAAAAATAAAGCCCCAACCCCCACAGACAGAGCATCTGAGAAAAAAAGGGTTTTTTTATGAGTTCTCTTGCAGCAGAATTAAACATAGCAGCCTAACAGCTCTGAATGAACAACACAGCTCACAGCTCAGCAATTGAGCTGAATTGTACAGGCTGTCTCCTCAAGCAGCTCCCTGACCCCTCTATATCCAAAAGACTGACATTTGGCAGGCATCATCCTGGGACAAAGATAGCAGAAAAAGAAACTGGTAGCATCCCTTACTGTTCCGCAGCTGCTATAGGTGCACCCCAGACAAGCAGGGCCTGGAGTGGACCTCAGCAGTCATACAGTGAAGGGGCTAGACTGGTAGAAGGAAAACCAAGTAACAGAAATACTCCATCATCAACAATCTGGGTGTCCACTCAGAGACCCAATCGAAAAGGCAGCAACTACACAGATGACAGGTGGATAAATCCACAAAGATGGGAAGAAACCAGCGCAAAAAGGAGGAAAACACCCAAAACCAGAACACCTCGCCTCCTAGAAAGGACCAAAACTCCTCACCAGCAAGGGAACAAAGCTGGACGGAGAATGACTGTGATGAAATGACGGAATTAGACTTCAGAAGGTGGATAATGAGAAACTTTTGTGAGCTAAAAGAACATGTTTTAAATCAATGCAAAGAAACTAAGAACCTTGAAAAAAGATTTGAGGAAATGATAACAAGAATGAATAACTTAGAGAGGAATATGAATGAATTAAAGGAGCTGAAAAACACAATACGAGAACTTCGCGAAGCGTGCACAAGTTTCAATAGCCGAACTGACCAAGCAGAAGAAAGAATATCAGAAGTTGAAGATCAACTCAATGAAATAAAACGAGAAACCAAGATCAGAGAAAAAAGCGCAAAAAGGAACGAACAAAGTCTCCAAGAAATGTAGGACTATGTGAAGGGACCTAACCTACGTTTGATAGGCGTACCAGAATGTGACGAAGAGAATGAATCCAAGCTGGAAAATACTCTGCAGGACATT